CCGCTCACAATATTTTTTTTTTTTTTTTTTTTTTTTTTAATTGCATAGAACGGTTCTGTGCAGTCCTGTTTGGGGCTATTTTTTAAGCTGAATAAATAACGACATTGTTTTTTTCTTTTCTGTTTTACTTATGTTTTATTTTATTTATATTTTTTAATTTTGTTATGCAAATTTAAAATATCACTTTTTTGGATTCTTCATTTTTTTTTTTTTTTCAATTCATACAACAGTAAAAATGAACCTATATATATATTATAAAAGCATACATATAAAATCCTAAATGGTAAATATACCTTTAAAGCAGAACAATTCTTTTCTCATGGCTCAAACACTACAAAAGTAACCTCCTTCTGCCACCAAAATATACCAACCATGTAACTAAAGGCCAATATGAAGGGTCCAGCACATCAACAAAAGTTCTCCCCTTCTAAGAAAACACAAAATAGAAATTCAAAGTTATCCAAAATGACGGCAATTTTCAGAGTTTCTCCTTTATTCATTATCCTGTTTGCTTTATTCTCAGTTATCATCCTAAATCCTTCCCATGCTGTAAGAAAAAAAAAAAAAAAAAAAAAAAATACCCCCAATGCATATGCACACAGGAATGTACCCCCAAAGCACATACACATGTGAAATGCATGTACTTATTTCCCCCACACCCTGCTGTCTTCGAATATTACATAACATATTGTTTATATATGAAAACGCTCTCTTGACACATTATAACTCTTGAAACCTTTTACAGGCAAACACCGAAGCGGGAAGAATAATGTGTTATCATCCAAACAATTTAATGGAATTTTGGAATGATAACATAGACGAATCAGAACAATTAAAAAAATGTACATGGGATAACTGGATGATGAGGTTGGAATCAGAATGGGAAAACTTCAACACATCCATGAAGAGCAAAAAGAATGTATGGCTGCAAGAAACAGAAAAAGAATGGGCCGAATGGATTAAACAAATGGAAAATAAATGGATGAATTGTAATGAAAATATTAATGATGAATACAAGGATTATCTTATATCCAAATCTACTACATGGACTGCTGAACAATGGGAAGAATGGATAAAAACAAAAGGGTCAAATTTTATGAAAACAGATTTCGAAAAATGGATTAAAGCAAAAGGAACATCATTGGATTTGTTACAATTAACAGATTGGGTCCAGTGGAAAAACGAAAAAATCATGGCATGGCTAACGAACGAATGGAAAACTGAAGAAGACAACTACTGGTCACATTGGGAAAACTCAACATGGCTTAAGTGGCTCCACTTCACAGAGAAAAAACACTGGCTAAAATGGAAAGAAAGAAATCATAGGGAAGGTGAACAATGGTCTACTTGGTTGAGCATCAAAGAAAATGTTTATATATTTAACGAGTTGAATAATTGGTCAATGTGGAAAAATGAAAAACAAGAATTCTTCAATACATGGATGAATAATATAATTAAAAAGTGGATAAATGAGGAGAAATGGAACAACTTGGTGAACACAGAAAATGATTCATGATCGCGAGAATGCTGGCCAACTCTGGAAAATTTTAACCCCATTGTGAACAGAAAAGAAAAATTATAAAATAAGGTATTCTTGACAGTCTTTCCTTCATTAATTTTGCATACATGAATTTCATAGAGCAAGAATATGAACTAGGCGAAAATAATCCATAACAATCAGTGGACAAATCTCAAAAATGAGCAAAGACAAAAAGGACAGTTTTTCCTGTGGCCCAGTAACACTCATAAAAACAAAAGTAAATAAGTGTTGCTTAACAGTTTATACGGATGATACATATATATTTTGCTTAGTTCATATGTTTTGCGCATTTTACACATTTCGCGCATGCTATATGTTGAACCACATCGGTACTCATCCGCAGTTCTTTTTACGTCCCATTCCCCTGCTGCACGTTTTTTTTTTTTTTTTTCCCCTTTTTCACGCTAACAAAAAGGAATTCTTTTTAAATAATTCTTATTACCTCCACAACTACACAAACCATTTGTTTATACACAGAGTAAATATATTTTAACTTAAACTTATTCCAATTCATTCTAACTCAGTTATATGCACACGTATTGGTCTATTCACATATGCATTGATATCATACCTTTTTGGTCATAGCCTAATGGTAATTCCTTTTCCTCTTAACTTTATTTGCATGAGATATGTAACACATTATTCAAGCACATTTTTGATTAACAGAATGGTAAATGAAAAGAGCAAAAAAACAACAAACCACAAAAGTTGTAAAAAAATCATCTTTTGGCTCCATTTTTATATTTGTCAAAAGTTTTATCAATTACTATGTTTTTTTTTTCCACCGCATCTTTCTCTCAACTGGAAAATGTTGTCTATCGTTTTTGCAGGCGCTTATTTCAGAATCGAATTAAGACCTTCCATGAATGTCTACATGTTAACGATAATTCACGCATTACAAAAAAAAAAAAAAAGAACAGTGTACTGAATTCATTGAAGTTGACATAAACAACGCCCTCCTATACAGAAGAAAAAAAGAAAAAAAAAAAAAAAAAAAAGAGCGCTTAATGAATAATGATTCAAAAGGAAATACATATTTCGTGCTCCCATTTGTAGAAACAAAATTATGAACAAAGTATACTTTTGCTTCTATTAAATTCGATTGAATGACCTATAAAAGTTATTACATAATAGGGTAATCACATTTTATAATTTTCTTTAACGCGTAGTTGGTGACTTTTTAACCCACACCAATTCTAACGTCACGTCGTACTCTTGTACAATCATTCTTTGTACTCTCCGAATATATAAATAAATGTATATGGGTGCTTATTGCAGGGGGGGAGAGAGTGTGCCACCTTAACGGTTTATGTGTGTAAAAAATTCAAAAATAAAATTTGTCCAAAAATTTACACCTTATATTATTATAGCATATGATGAAGGGCATTTAGAACAATTCTGGGGGGCAAGAAAAAACAATTTAAAAGAAATATGCTCCCCCCAACAAAAAACAGTTAGAGGAGCTAACTGTCAAATCCTAATCTTTACAATGATATACGCAGTAGCCTTAAAACTCACAGAGCATTGCTTACCATTAATATATTTATCACTTATTATATGTAAATAATAACGTTCCCAAGTGAGTAAAGCACACCAACTACTCCTATTCATAGAATGGGTGGTTTATTTGCATTTATAAAATGATTTTTACTATTTTGCTAAAATAAAGAATAATTATAATAGCAATAAAAGCATATTTGAATTTGTCCTCATCCGCCATAAGTGTGCCAAGGATTGTAGGTCACAACGAAGTGAGACAGAAGCGAGGCTGCCATCAATATTTTGAATATTCTTTTATTTTAAATGAAGAAAGGAATAAAACGTAGAACCTGCAAATTTCAGCCTCCATAAATGTAAAAATAAATTATGTCCATAAATACGATTAGCATATATTTTGCATTACTATCGAGAGTAAGTGACCAAAATTAAAGGCAAACATATGCATATATAAATCCAATAGCAAAGCTTCATTTATCCCCTGTGAGACAAATTTATTCAACCACATTTTGCTCGCTATAAAGGTGAGTTCTTTATAACGGACTCTCTTTGTTACAAAGCGGGGTCGGCAATTTACATTATAAAAGCGCTCCAAGTGAATGAAAGTCTTTCGTTTAATAAATAGTAAAAAGCGCTTCATCCACAAAACATTGTCAAACTCAAACCCTCACGCATAGTCCAAATGGATGTTCTTAACTAGGATAATTTAAATTAAAAGCATTAGTATAAAATGTTACATCAAGAGCGACGTATAAATATTTACGTCTTTTCCGTGTATATATTTTTTATATTCCAATAATTAAGAGACAATTAAACAAAACAGGTTAAAAAAAAAAAAAACAAAAAAGAAAAAGTCAGAAGAAATTTATTTCAACATGCAATATAATGTAAAAACGCAGCACGGGCTTCAAAAAAAAATGATACCGTAAATATATATTTTTTCGTCTCTACCGAAATGTTATACTATGCATATATTTTATTATATATATGCCAAAGTACGAAATTGAAATGCTGTATTTTTGAAAAAAAAAACAGAAAAACGGAAATGGGAATTACTGAACTTAGAAATAAATAGATTTTGTAGAGAATGAATCCGTTTTCCCGTTCCATTTTCGTAGCAGAACGCGTACCATAACGGGTCCATAGAAAAATGTCGGCGCAAAAAAAAAGCATATGCAGCACACAAACAGTTAATATTTCAAACGTAAATTAAAATTTAAGTGAAAATGAATTATTCTCACATGATGCGCAATGGATGTGTCACTAATTATCCTAGGCTATATCAGCGCATAACAATACTCAAATCAGATACAAATATACATGTTTAAATTCGCAAGAAAAAAAAAACTTACATCCTCAATTTGCATTTGAATTAAATCTATATAAAGAGTAATTATTCATTCTTAAAGCGTCTAACGTATTATATGTTCTTATGAAAAAAAACAAAAAAAATAACCCGTATCCATATTTTTTATTGCAATTTCTCTAACTTTTAATAAAACACTTATACAGAAATTTAATGTTCTCAAATTATTCTATTTTTTTATTATTTATCTTAAAAAGCATTTTTGTTGTTCTTTATCTAAATTGCTGTTTTAGGAATACATTCAAAAAAACGAAAACAAAAAGGAATAAATACATTTTCTGAGGAACCCGTATGTTTCTGGTAATTTAGAAAATTATACTCCTATAAATTAAAGTTAAATATTTTATATAAATTTACATATTTCTCTGAAAATTCATTTCATTGAAGATATATTTTAATGCGTACAAAATTATTCATAATTTTGTTGAATAAAGATTAGATATATAAATTTCGCTTAAAAGAATAAACATTAACAAACAGAACCTGTTTTTACTAATTAACTAAATTATAATATTTACTTTTTCTTTTTTTTTGTTAACTTTCTTACAGTTTCTTCTAACAGAGCGTCTTCGACAGTCCTAGGAAAGCCAAACGCGTATATTGTACCATCTAAGTGTTTAGCAACAAGAAAAGATCCACAAACGCCTTGTTCAACGCTGTATTATTTCTAAGCGTGTCTTATCCCCAAAGGTATTATCTACATTTTACATACAAAAATGAGTTCCCTCATTTCTGTGTTTTGTGCCTATTTAAGCAGTCCGCAAACGGCCAATATATAATCGATTGTATATGTAGGAATGACTATTATGGCAACTATATTTATACCCCTTTCTACATAACAACCTGCTCTCCCGCGTTTGTGTTCCCGTTTTCAAATTTATGAACCTATGATTCCTTTTCCATGTGATAGCAACCTTTATAAAGAAAAAAAATTATATATTGTGTTCAATATATCATATATATATATATACATATATATATATATATATATATAACCATCCCCCCTGTTGTACGTTTTTCTTGCTACACCAAGCAGTCAAGGTTTTGTAAAAATGAATCCAGAACAACAAATTAACCTTGCGGCTGATGCCGCCAAAGATTTAAAAGGTAGTTGTTATGGCCCTAGCACTGGAGGAGTTCCACCACCCAAGCCAAATACCGAAATGATGCAAACAGGATCAGTTAATGCTGAGGGACTGTCCCACATGGGAAACGTATCCACTGGTGATGGTGCCGTGGGGTCACCTCATACATCTCATTATACTGGTTCCAATGGGTCTGACGCACCTGATGAACCCGTTCCATATGTAAATGAGGAAGGATCTTCAGAATTTGCAGGTGATGGTGAAAACGTAGAACCCGCAGATGAACGCATATTACCGCCACCTAATTTGGATGAAATGTTCAGTGAAGACTCCATTAGAAAATTGAGAGAATCCATTGAAAACTCCCCCTGCTACCAACGTAGATTAGCTGCCTACAAAGAACAACAGGAAAGACTTGCAAATAAAACCATTGATGTTGATATCAGCCCATCCTCATCTATGATATCTCCATTATACAAGTTACAATTCTTCGGAAGCTATGCCAAGGGAATGATTAATTTAATACAAGAAAACTACATAGTGATCTTACTCATTGGAATGGTAATAATGAACGCTATCCTTATGTATAACTACTGTAAGGGTGTCTCAGGCAACAAAAAAAAATGCAAGGGAAAAAAACTCAAAAAACAAATTAAGGAAAAAGCGGATAAAGCCACAAAAGAAAAGAATTAAAAAAAAAAAGGTAGCGACCTAGCAATGCGAATAAAAAGTGCTACCTAAGAAATGAAGACAAAAACTGTCGTGTCGTAATTGTCGACTGCTGTCAAGTGTTTAACACAAAAGCAAATGAAACAAAAAACTAATCCACAGGAGCAGACATAAATATATAACAAAAAAGAAATTAACTAAGAACACGAAAAAGACGAAACACAAAATAGAATGTAAAAAAAAAAAAAAAAAAAAATATAAACCTAAGAAAAATATACCTTATTCTGTAGCAGCCATAATAAGAGCATGCAAAATAAATACTGAGAAAAAAAATATGCCATTTTTTTGCAGTTTGTGTAGAGTTGTTTATCCTATGTGTGTACTCTTTTATGTATATATTTTCTAATAACAAATATGTTGTATTTACAATACGCGTATTTGTTATGATTAAACTTGTACATACATATATGTCTATAACTGTCTCTCTATATATGATACTTTATACTTGTGATTTCTCTTTGTGTGTAACTTTAACTTTGACAATTTTAACGTCATGCGCATTGTCATAAAAAAGGAACATATTATTATGAATTAAATATTAAATAGCCGTACACAAAAATGTATATATAAAAAAAAGCATACATCGAAATGAAATTTACGTGTCCGCTACACACAAAACAAAGGCATGTCATGCGCATTGTGCGTGTTCAAAATGGATGTTCTTGCAAGAGATCAGAACTAAAACTTAGTTCGGCACCCATCTGAAAACCCGCAACGCAGTTGTATATATATATGTAATATATAATACGTAATACGCAATATGTAATATGCAAATATTGCTTGGCAACTTTTTATGCCACGAATATCCAAGTGGACAGTGTTCAATAATAAGGGATGATGCGGTGTCCGCGTTGTTAAACATGTAATCTGCCTGCGCGAATACTTTGTCGTATGACATATTGCACGAAGGCACTTTGTTTTATTAAAATGGAAAGCGTGTGTATTCTATTTGTGTCAAAATACAGCTAATAGGAGACAGTGCCCTGTGCAATCGCAAACGATCATATTGCCATGCCCAACGCTTTTGATCCCTGTAACGATGCACACTTCCTAATCTTTGCCACTTCATAACATAATACCCCTGTAGCAACATGTATGTCGTATAATTATGGTTAGCCTCAATCTTTCACCAACCTGTTTGGCTACATTACATACACCACCTTACAATGCGAAGATTACAGTGAGCACAAAAGAAACAATTTAGCCAGGCACCGGGTGGCATACAGAGCGCCTATTTCAAGTTGACATCCGAGCACAAGTGTTTTTGTGTAGTGCGGTATAAAATCTTACCGTGAACCCTAAACCTTCAACTATGCAGAATCACCTGTTCAATTCAATGTTAGCGACTCCTGATATCTGCACATTTAGAAGACACCCAATATGTGCAGGTGTTATTATAAATAAGGAAAAGGGAGAAATATATATATGTATATGTATTGTTACCGCTTATATAAATAATGCGTTTCGCAGCAGGGATTAATTGTTCCACACATGTAATTGAAGAGATGCGTTTAAAATGTTTCCTTTGAGGGGAAAAAAATATTTTAAAGAAATGGTTCCGACGTAGAATTGGCAAGGAGCCTACAAGGAGATAATGTAACAATATAGAATGTGATAAAATGGGTATATACTAACGCGTCCAAGAGATCACAAAACGAACATTTAAGTGTGTGTATTCATTTTGTTATTACTGTATCGCGTGTAAGTTTTGTGTCGTGTTTTAGTTGTTTGTGTTTGTTTAATTTACTCGTGAATTAAGGAGCAAATCACTGGGTGTTGTCTCCAAAAACAGAAAAACTAATGCATCCTTTTCCGTTGTGTGCGCATCCTGAATTTATGCTAGAATCATGTTAAACGCACCTATATAGAGAAAATGTTATGGAGAGGCTCACTTAATTTGTGTCCGTTTTGTTAATTGTGAACTGGCAGGATGTTTTTATGTACACGTTCCCTGAGGCGCATATAGTTGCCCTTGTTTGTTTTTGTCATTTCGTGGGTGTTATATTTATTTGTTGCCCTTGGTGAAGGCTCTGCACCTGTGTGTGTGTCTATGACCATTGTTGTCGAATGACCACGCATGTTTCCAGTACCGAAAATTTAAAATGTATTATGTGAGCGTCTAAGTGTATACATATATATGTTTGTATACATGTACGTATTATGTGTTCTAATTTGTGCATGTATATGTTGTCTGCCAATGCGACGTCTGTGGATCCGGTGCTTTCCCCGATGGAGCGGCCTGCCGCCACACACCTGAAGCGCCGCCAAGCGCGTTTATAAAGCACCTATCGGGTGTACACCTGTGTATCGTATTGTCCATGTGTTGCACCAACCAACCGCGTAACCGAGTAACCCACTAACCTTGTAATGGCTGAATCTTATTTGTTGTATGCGCTCGTTACTAGCGTGGGGCATACATATGTGCGCAGTGCGTGATTGACAAAATTTGCCCCGCTTGCAGCACCATGTGCTCAGTGCCGAAGGTACTATTTAAAGGGCACCGAGCACACAGTGGGTGTTCTACAGTTGAGGGTCATAATTCTTTGTTTTTTGTTGTTTGTTGTTGTTTATATATATGTTTTCTTATGAACTTAGTAATACATAAAATGCAATGTTCTTGAACCATGTTGCACACGCGAACTATAACCCAGTAGAAGGGCAAATGTTGAAAAAAAAACACAAAAACAAGCAAAAAAGAACAACAAAGAAACACAAAACATGCATAAATAAACTAAAATATAATGCAGTAATGCAACAAAAAACGAGCAAACTAAACTCAAAATTTTACTATGGTATTGAAGTTTTTAAAGCCTGTTAAAGCGGGAACATAAACGAAGGGCAAATGAAAATTCGCGAATGTACTCTTTTAAAAAATGTTCAAAAAACACATGGCAAATTGGTCATCAAAAATTTGCGGCCAAATGGTGTGCACGTGCCCGTGGTTCGAAAATTATTCTAAAAAGTTAATCAGCGCACGTGTGCACATGTACAAATGCAAATACATGTACAGACGCATGAACACGTACGTATGCACACACGTGCGCACGTTTCAAAATTTGGGCAATTCAAAGCAACAACAAATCTAAAAGCTAACAAGGGTGTATACTATAAAAAGAAGGAAAAAAAAAAAAAGAAAAAAAACTTTAGGACTCCATGGTTCTCTCCTTAATCATCCTATAGTTAAGTATTGCACGATCGAAATGCTCGCGCATATGACAGTTCATAGTAATCTGAAACAGGTCCGCGAAATCTTCTGTCAAAAAATCAATTTCTGTGGACATGAGGTTGCTATACATGTGTACAAAGTTTTCTAAGTTCTTTCTCCTGAAAAAACTTTTCAAAAGTCGTAAACCTTTTAGGTTTGGCATTGTGTAAGTTTTATGCACTAATGAATAGTCAAATTCTCTTAAAAATCTTTTGTGTCCATAAATCATTTTCGTTTTCATAACTGAAAAAAAGGACGGTAAGAAATCATCTATATATCCAAAGTAATCTTCTTTGCCATCTTTTTCACAAAAGCCAAAGGCAGGGTTATGATTATGTGGGCCCAATAACAGAAGTGAGCTACTACGTTTTCTTATTCCTAATCTTTTTCTGTTGCTAATAACTATGGAAGTACCTCTCGCAGGTTGTGTTATATCAGAATTGTAGTACAAATCGGAAACACCAAGAAAAGCCAAAAAGTTAATATCACGTGCTGCATATACTTCGGACATATTAATAGAAGGGTCGTCTTTTACTAAATAAAGTTTTCTAAACACCCTGACATCATATGGACCGAAACTTGGAATAGGATTACGTTCGTAAGTAGCATGTGTGTTTCTATCAGCTTTGGAAATTAAGGTCTTAAAAATATGTGGATCATTCTTCAAATTGTCTATGTCCTGTTGATTAAGTAATAGTTTGTGAACTTGCGCCACAAGCAGTTGACTGCTGAATAGAGAAAGAAAATCATTACTTACATCGCTTTGCACATCTTTTAATAAGTTTTTGAAATAAGTCTCATAGTTGTCTGTATTTGACATAGCTTTTATATCCTTAGCATAGTTTTGAATTAAATATATAGTGAAAGCTCGAATGAAGCATGCCTGGTCCTTATTATCTAAAGCGTATACATTTAGATGTTCTACATAATTTATTGCATCAGTAGGGTTAGAAAAATGACTGAAAAAGAAATAAACCCATTTTCCTAGCATTGGACGTGCCTGTGCATGGTCCAAAACCATGCCCGTAACTGAAAGATCCCTGAAGTTGATGTTGTACAATTCTTTGGCGCAAGTATATGCATGCACACCATTTTTGAAAAAAAGGGTGACCAAGAAGGAAATCAGAAATATCGCTGTCATCTTGTCTGTGTGTGTCAGATGAAATAAGTGTTATCATGAATGTGGTAAACTACTTGTTTGTCTAGTTTTTTGGGGAAGGATGTGCCTACAAAAAGGTAAGCGCTTGCCCGTACTTAACCAAGCGGAGCAATGGTTGAACGCCCGTAGTCGTGATATTACGTTGGTCCTAACACACGCGTTCTATCGAATTAGTGTACTACGGGTGTGTATCGTATGTGTATCATATGTGTGCGTATGTGTACACGCTACTGCACACGTAGATACATACTTACATGTATGGGTACAGCTGTACGCATCGAAAAGTGTAAAAGTCAGTTGACTAAACATTAATGTATTCACATGGAAACTGGGTATCCGTGAAAAAAGTCATAGAAAACGGAGGCAAACGGAAAAGTGCAAACCGAAAATCGCCATAACTAGCTAACAGCAGAGGTTACAGACTTGATTCATTTGGTTTTGCGTACGAACATGCGAATGTACACATTTACGAATTTAGACATGTGTTAATTTTATTTTATTCATTTTATGTTATTGCATTTTATTTTTGTTATTCGTTTGTTTTCCAGTGTTGCAAACGATATCAAGTGTTTACAGCAATGTGGCAATTTTGTTGCGAACAAGTTAAATACTATAAAGAAAATTAAAACAATAGAGGCAAAAAAACAGAAAAGGGTGTCTGCGTCGCGCATTAATTAAACCAAAACAATGTGCTCGTTGCACTTGATATGCATAACACACATTATATAATTTTTGATTGCTTGCATTTACGAAACATGTGTAAGTATACGTGCAAATACTTGTAGAAAATTGTGAATGTGTGTCATGACTTTAGTGTTATACTTAGGTGCATACGCAACAGAGTGCAAGCGCAAACAACAGTTCAAACAAAAACGCAAATGTAAATGAAAGTGCAATGGTCTGAAATGCCAATAAGGAATTGTTGTAAGCATTACATAGCCGATCCCGTAGACAGAATATTGTTATGTATAACTTGGCTGCAACTACGGTGCTGTGTGAAAAATATTAAAAAATTGCAAAGCGTCGCAAAAATAATTAACAATGTTTAAGCACTACAAAAGCAAAAAATGTGAAGACACCCCGATTTATTTGCAAAGTTTGGACAACAGAAAAACACACAATGCCATATCATGCGAGCAAACGAACGAGAGCGTGAACGACACGGAGTGCAATCTGTATCCATGAGCATCAGCACCGATAACACTGTGCAGTGTGTCCGAAACATGGACATAAGTGTACTCTGAATTTGGACCAACAAATGGACCATTAAGCTTTTACTCATTTTACAAAATCCAATTTTAGGAAGCGTTAAATGTCATAACAGCACGCGTAACATGTGTCGCTTTCCACAAAAGTGTCCATGTAAATAAAATTCACAATTGCGCGAATTCATGTTCATGTGCGGACGCATACAAATATGCGCATCATGTGTAGGTGTACACGTATACATGCCCCTCAATAGCGTGCACACGTGTCCCCGGCGCCCTTTGCGTTACTTTTGTAAATTGTACTGCACAAATTATTTTTGAAACATGTCACTCAATGCATCCCCATATGTTGCGTTTTACTAACACTTTTGCTTCGTTTTTCATGAAAATCGTCCAAAACGGGCACCTTGTTACTTTTGCATGTATGCGCACTGTTGAACAACAAAGTTGTAGAGCGTATCCGATTTTTTGGCATCCATTTTGGGAGCCATTTTGCCAGCTTGCGTCCCCCCCCCTCCAGCGGCAGCCGCATCTTCACACACAAATGCACACGCACTTAGCCGGCCTTTCTTGTTTTGTTTCCTTACATTCCTCTTTTTCATGTGCACAAATATGAACACTTTTTCATGCGTCAGTCCCATAAACGTTCGGTGTAGTTTCTCCATATTTTTGCAACTTCACACTTTGGCCCCAGCTGAACCAGTATTATGAATGGTTCCATTCGGCCACCTATCTTATGTGTGTATCCCTAGCACCGCGCATTTGGTCAAACGAAACCAATCATACATAATATTTAAATGAGCGCACGTTCCGGTAAATATGCCTGCACCACTGTATGTATCGTCCTCCATGGTCACAATGCACACACACACCACGCCTATTATTAATTGTCCCCCTGTACATGTCCGTATGGGTGTACATTCATTACCGCTTGGTACACGTATCACACCTTCATGCAATACAAATGTCCAAGTTGTGCGCCTCCACATCACCGCTGAGTAGCATTATCCAGCATGCTGAGGCTTTCCAAAAAGCTGCCCTCTCTAAGAAATAACTCTAACTTTTTTACAGACCCCTCGTTTGGAACCCTTTTTAAATTACAACACTCGTAAATATCTTTCAAAAAATTTATGTTTACATCATTGTCCTCCTGCAGCATTAACTCTTTTATCGCTACTTTCGATATTTCAAAATTTTTTTCTAGCATTAACGTAAATGCAATCAGCACTTTAACGTAACTACAAACGGGATTTATTTTTTCGGCTTTCCAGAACCTGTTCAAAGCATCTTCATTTCGTTTCATTTTTAAAAATATGACACCCTGCATAATGAACACATCAATTCCTTCATAACCATTTTTCTGTGCATGTTCTAAACATAGTAAGGCAGTTTCATACTTCTCCAGGTGATTATATATTGAAGCGCAGTACATGCACACAACTGCATCACTACTATTTAGTTTCAGACATAAACTCAAGTGGACATTCGCTAGCTCGTACTTTCTCTCCTGAAATAATATAACGCTTAGTAACAAGTGTACTTTAAAATTACACGCATTTATTTGTAGACATTTCGACAATGCCAAAGCTGCCTTGCGCATGTTTCCCAAAAGTCTCATTTCACAAGAATAAAGAACATAAGCATATTCGTAAAACTTATTTAGCTTCATTGCCTTTCTAAAAAAATATACTGCCATGCTTTTGTTGTTTTTTAGGGAAAAATAATTTCCTATAACACATAAAAAATATTCATTCAATTCCTTCTTGTCATAACTCAGCAAAATGTATTCTATCTTGTCTATATCTCCTTTGTACCAATAACATGTTGACAGAAAGGGTAAATGCTTTGTGTACAAAGATTCTATATCATGAATTTTTTCAAAAAACAAACTCGCCTGTTCATAATTCCTAAGTAAAAAGTGACATAACCCTTTGGTATAAACAGTGCAAGTACTAAACATTGGTCTGTCTTCCCACTCCTCTAGTAACCCTAAACATTTTCTAAAATCATTTACATAAAAGTAATAGTATACCTTTCCCAGTACCGATAAATTTACTATTGCTTTGTTTGAAATGTACTCACGCCCTTCCTCGCCCATTATCACATTTATGTCCTCTTCGCACGCCTTTTCCCACTCTAAAAGAGACTTCTTCATTTCTTCTTCTCCTATTAATGACATAATAAACTCCGCGCTCTTCACATCTATGTAGTTTGTATCCTTTTGGAATTCTAAATCTTCCAAAATGCTGTCATCCGAAGGCGATATTTTGTCCTTACGGGAACCTGTTTTTGTATCGCAATGGGAATCACTATTTTCATTCATGAGTGCTCCTGCATTCTCTAGGTCGTACTCGTCTGTCTCCTCCTCGCCATACGCTTCTATGTCTTCCCACCCCTCGCACTCGCCCATGTTCTCCTCAGCGTACTCATTTTCTTCCTCCTCACTGTACCCTTCTTCATCCTGTTCTCCGTATTCCTCTTCATCTTCTTCGCCGTAGTCATCATCCTCGTCCTCATCTTCCACCCCGCTGCACACCCCCCATGACTGGTAAAAAGGAACTCCAAAATTATACACTTTCGACAACTTTTCTACTTCTTCCGTGAACATAGTATTAGAATAAAAGTTTCCGTGCAGCTTTAGTAACTTTTTATATGCGCACAAGAACAGGGGACATGATTTAAAACATAAGTAATAACAATAAAATGCTATATCTATTAATTTCATTTTTTTCGTATCATTAAACCACTCATTTTTGGCTTCCTTTTCGCACAATTTCCCCATAATGTAATACCCAGCACTATGTCCTGGCAGCTTTTTCACATCGTAAAAGTTATTTTCATAAAATTTGATATTCTTTTTTTCGTACTTTTCGTGCACCTCACCCTTGCAGTTGTATTTTATATACTCATCATCCAGAAGCATTAGCAGCATGACTTTCCTTTTTTCCTTCTTCAGCTTATAGCAAGCATAGATGTATCCGTATTTTACAACATTGTCACAGCTATCATCTTGGCATTCTCTTCTTGTATAATCATATAACCCGTTCAAGTCTCCATACTTTAAATAACACTCCTCAGGAAAGACAACACTGTTTACCCCTTGTCGGTAGCAGTGGGTATCTAAAAGGTCTGCATACAACCTTCTTTGAAATTTTAGGTTGTACTTTTTGGACAGATGCAGACCGCTCTTTAGGAAGTTCAAATAACTGAACGAATTTTCTTCTTCCTTCATCTTTTGCTAATATAAACAAAGTGCACACGAAAAAAGCAAGGACCAATTCTTCCTTCTTCATTAGTTAAACGTGGTATTATAACCCCATTGTGCATTTTTCAAATTTTTGTTCCTTCCGCACAACGGTACGGCGCAGGCCTCTTCGTCATTATATGCTATCTTATTAATTTGGGACACGGGAATGGGTGCACTCTATTTTATTTCTTCCTCCCCTCTGCACACTGCACCACTTTTTTTTTTTTTTTTTTTATATATTAAAACAAACAAACCAGTCAACTTTCAGCTATATTGTCGTATCTTCTGCGACAGTTTAGCTGCTCTCTCAAAATAAAAATGTACGTAATAATGCATACAACAATTTTTACACAACACCCCTACTTTGTTCCATTGCCTATAATTTGATCCACCTTGCGCAGGCTTCTCCATTCCACTACCTCTACTGCAACATGCACGGTACCTATATCCGTATATTCGCATGTCCACGCTGGACGCATGTTCCTCCTCTATTTCGTTTTCTAGTAGGCGGTTATTTAAAATGTACACAGGCTACATAGCATTGGCTATTTATCCGCTACGATGTCGATTTCACCGCTCACCCAAAAGGGCACAAAGAAACATGCGAACAACTGAACACATAAATTTACTAACAATTCAGAAGTTTCAAAATACGCAGTGGTATTTTTTGCACCTCAATGTGTGTGCATTTTTATGTTGTTCGAAACACCTTTGCATGTCGAACCCTTCCGCAGCTTTAGGCAGTGAAACTTGTGTTCTTTTTTTTTTCAACTGTATCCTTTTCTGTCACATCGGTGTAACATGTGCATACATTTTGAATAAGTTTCGAAACCATTAGACAATATATACCCTTCTTTGCTGCCTTTTTTGTACTTTTTTTTTTTTTTTAAATTCGATTCGATCACATGTAAGTTGTGCACGAATAAACGTCAATGATCCATAATATATCAGTTTAAAATTAAAGGAGGAACGTACCTTTACAAATATGCTATTGCCTATGAGACACCTGTACAGCTAGCACCTTACAGCTTTTGAAGTGCCTCAAACGCAGGGTCATAATAAAATGCACTGCCGCATATACATGTGTGCACATTTTTTTTTTTTTTTTTTAGCACTTTTCATTATTAGGAGCCATACGCTTCATCTTTTGCCTCGTGCGAAACGATGTGGCCATATCAAAAAATATACTTTTCAGATAACAAACATGACACATTTTTTGGCACATTTAAATATATTGACCACACGGGAATACATGCACGTGCATGTGCCTAGTGCATGAGTTCCTTTGCTTGCCTAAATCAATGGGCGAAATACCTTGGTGGTAACTTTCTAAAAACGTCAATCGTGTAACATATTCACTAGTAAGTTATTCTGAAACATACCGAAACATGTGCTAAAAATACATGAGTAAAAGAACAGATTTTTCACAAATTCCAGAGCGTGTTAAATATATGGTTTACGTGCCAAGACATATGTGATACTATATTTTCACTTTTTTTTTTTTTTTTTCCTCTCCCTTTCGTTTAATTTATTCCTAATTCTTATATTTTTATAACAATTCCGTATTTCCCTTTTTTCCACTCCCCTTTGGTACTGCCAAGACATATTCCTACAAAGGACTGGCACACACAAAGGGGGACTCATCATAAAATGACAAAACATTAAGGCGCGCGCTGTTACACACATATATTACACACGCAGGAACCATACACATATGTGAACAAAGCAAACACACAATGCCATGCTTGTAAATGTCCTTACTGCTGCTTCAAGTCTCCCCTCCATGCTTCTTATAGCTATTCTTAGTCTTCTACTTTTGTAGCCGATATTTTATTTAAAATAATTGTCTCAATTTTGCGAACAATATGCCAATGGAGGGTAGCATGAGAAACTGCATTGAGGCGAAAATCGCAAGTGCACAGTGATCCATATGTGCTGTGTGCTTAGCCATTTATCCATACATAGTACTATATATACATGTGCACAAATGTACACCCACACATTACCTACACATATGCGCACATGTGTATCGCGAAGAACGTAAGCATGTCCCCCTTTGGCAATTCACTCATATCTGTTTCCTTTTTGATAAATAAATTGTATTATACTTACGACTATATTCCCTTTTTTTTTTTTTTTTAAACATAGACATTGCTGCGGATCAAATATTTTTATACAAAATATTTTACATTCCGGCTTTTCTTTTTCGCGAATCCTCGCCGTAACCATTCTATTCTTAACACATACGTACAAGCACACATGCTATATAATGTGTGCATAAATAAGCATTTCCTTATTCTTCCAAATGTATGATAATACTTTTTCTGTTTATCTTCTTTTCTGCTTTTCTGTTTCCTCATTTTTTTCTTTTTTCTTCTTCTTTTCTCTCATTAGTTTCTTTATCTCCCTCTTTTTCTTTTTTTTTTTTTTTTTTTCTTTCATCTCCATTTATTAACCTCGGTTAGGTCACATTCTTCATTTTCGCATTTTATTTTTACGTTAAAACGTAAGTTCCCATTACAGGAATTTCAACTTACACATTTACTACAGTAGCCTTAGGGTACCTTCACCAATGTGCGAAGCTTCAGGAAATATTATGTTCCCCATTTGAGTAACACTTTTTTAATAGAATATATTTCTTCTTTTATTGTTACCACTTCATGCTTATAGGCATAAATTAAATAATGTAACTTATTTTTTAAAATAAGTTTTCCTTTTTATTTTATTTTTTTTTTGGTAAAGTTTTGCGCAGATTTCGTTTAATTTCCCCAAGTTTTTATTTTCCCCTCAAATTTATTTTTCACTTTGGCCTTCCCCCCCCTACGCCTGCTTTATTTTATCTTTGTTTTTTCTTTATTATATGGCCTGACGATCGTCGAATTTTTAAGCTCATTATTTTATCGTAGTTTCCTTTTTTTTATTAATTCTGTTTTATTTTCTTTGCACATTGCTTCCCCTTCAAATTTCCCCTTCGCATCAACGTTTCACATCGAAGCTTTACGCCCCCGGCCCCCGTCTCTATTTATTTCTTATATTCTTCTCATTTTTTTTTTTTTTGCATTTTGCATATTTCTCTCTTTTTTTTTTTTTCATTTCGTATTTTTCCCATTTCGTCAAAAGAAAAATGCCACAAGTGTATTTACCCCAAATATTGTGGCATAGCAAAGATAACAAACGGAGCGACCGAATTTATTCTGTGGACATACAACCACACCCCAACTACTACAGCGTCAAAAAGCTAAATAAGAAATATGAGTTATTTAAAAAATTTATAAAAGATAAAGAAAATAAATGTGACACACATTCTTCAGTGCAGAAGGAAGAGCCGGGGGAGAATAACCCCCCCTTGTCTTTCGTCCATCAAAATGGCATGCAAAAAAACGGGGAAGTTATAATAGAGGAAGACATAATCGGCGATGACACAAAATGCGAGGTAAGCACCGTTCACAACACGGTGAACCTTAGTAGTCATGAAAATGCCACAGATGATAACGAAAAAAACAGCACAGTCAAGAAAAATAATTGCTGTGATACCAGTACGGGGAACAGTTCCCCCCAAGAAAAACTCACCCCTGTGCCCCTGAAAGGCGAACAAGAACATGTAGAGAGTGACATCCAGGACGAAGAGGATAAAAAAACTACACAAGGCAAAAAAAAATCTATCAAGTTTAACATCGCCACCTGTGGCGCAGATGAATTTGTGCACTTATGGAGAATATATATTAAAGACGACTTGATAGTCAAATGTTTAAGCAGGTTTATCGGTCATAACGGAGAAATAAATTGTGTCCGTTTTAACAAAAATGGTAGATATTTAGCCAGTGGAGGGGAAGACAAATTCTTATACATTTGGGAAAAAAGCAAAAAACCAAAAAATATTCCTCTAGGGTATGATATAAGCTTTCTAGATTATAAGGAATGGTGGAATATAGTGGGCTCATTCAGATGCAGTGGAGTTATCAACAGCATCACTTGGTCGAATAACGATACCTTATACATAGGAAATGAGGATAATAACATTAACATAATAGAATTTGTTAAAAACGGGAATTGCAAGGTAAAGGTTTTAGAAGGACACGCAGGATTTATCCAAGGAATATCACTCGATCTGAACAACGAGTTTTTGGCTTCTCTTAGTGCTGACCAGACCCTCAAAATATGGAAAAAAAAAAACGATGGGAAATCATGGAAACTGGAAAATTCCATAAAAAATATAAAAACAGACCAGCTAGAAAAACGATCCACCGCTTACATCACGTATAATGAGTATGAGTTTAACGAGAAGGGCGCAGACAGACATGAACACTCTGCAACTAAAATTGACGAAAAGAAAGAAATGCAATGCAGACCGGATGATTTGACCGAAGAATTCCCAAATGAAAGGAAAGGCGATGCAGTTGAAGGACAAAAGGAGAAAGAAAAGGCCGAGCAGAAGGGAACATTCGAAACACAGGGGATACGCGCAGAAAATGAGGACCATGAAGAAGATTACGTTGATGAAAATAAAAACAAAATGTGCACGCGAAAAGAAGAAAAAGAAGTTGGAGAGAATGAACCCGAAGATGAGGAAGAAGAAGAGGAAGAAAAAAAATTAAAAAGATGCTTGTTCTCAAGCGAAGAAATGCTGCCTTCCTTTTTCAGACGCATTGATTTTTCCCCCAATGGAGAATTTCTAATAGCACCAAGTGGAATTCAATTCGAACAAATTGAAAAACTGCATGACAAAAACACAAAACCAGAAGAAAATGTAAAAACAGTCACCCAAACAAAAGCGTTCAGCTGCTTCTATATATATCATAAGAATTTGTTCATTAGGTACAATATCCCATTTTTTACTGTTTTCTCCCAAACCAGCCATTTTCTAGTAGCCAAATTTAATTATAATACTTTTAAGTTAAGGACACACCATAATATACTCAAACGATGCTACAAGCATTTGATGAGCTCAACGTCAAATGATGCAGATGGATGTGACAATGCGAATAAAAAAAGAAAAATGTTCGATGAAGACGGGTTTATTAATGAATTAAAAAATTATGAACATTTGATAAAGCTAAATTATGAGAAAACTTTGCTCTTTAACGACACTGAAGTGCAGGATGATGTGAGCGAAGATGTTAGTAGCACTATCTCGGATAGCGACGTCCAGTATGATGACGAGAAAGAGGATTTCATAGACTCCACAGGGGACTACTCCCTGTCCAATAACCTTGACAAGAATGAAGAGGAGCAGGAGAAAGAGGAGTGTGAAGATTTGGTGGGCGAAGCGGAAGAAGCAGAAGAAGACACGGAGGAAGATGCCGATGAAAACGAAGATAATGAAGATAACGAAGATAATGAAGATAACGAAGATAATGAAGATAACGAAGAGAACGAAGACAACGAAGAGAACGACGAAAACGGAGAAAATGAGGGAAATGACGAAAATAGCGAAACTGAACAAAACGACCAACATGACAATATCGAAGGGGAGGCGCACCTCGATCTAAAGCAGGACACCGCCGATAAATGCAGCGAACAAAAAAAAGAGCTAGAGATTTGCGAAACGAAGGACAAAAAAGAAGAAAGATTCATTTACTCTTTGGGAACCTTTGACGGAAGCGTCTACTTTTACGACAGCCAAATTCTGGACACTCCAATTAGCATAGTCAAAAATATACACCTGTGCCCAATCACAGATATATCATGGAATAACCTGGGCAACATATGTGCATGCTCGAGTTCAGACGGATATGTTAGCTTTTACTACTTTGATCATAACGAATTGGGCGAGGTGAAAGCGTACAATAATTACTACTTTGAGAAAAAATGTAACGACTTAACATTCGACGAACATTACTTTGAAAGTACCTTCTACGACGAAGTAGATTTTTTTAACAAAGACCAGCTACATGATTATACGTCCAGCGAAGATGAATGCGAAGAAATCAACCTGTCAGTAAACAAAGAAGAAACGAAAGTTCGAAAAATCAATTTGATCGTGGGTAATGCGGCTAATTTTGTCCTAGAGCAAAATACAAAGAAGTGATCGTTGTTTTTTTTTTTGGGGGGGCACCACCCTTTTTTGTGAATTCCACAGCATTTAAAGAGTAGACAAACAATATATATATATATATATATATATATTTTGCTATAATTTTAAAAATTATTTGTCCGAATATGAAAAACTCATTCTCGTTTTTTCGTATATCGCATTGTCCACCTGTTTTTTACTTTTATTTCTTTTTCTTTTTCTTTTTTTTTTTTACGCTATTCGTTTGGAAGTCGTATGTATACGCACATAAATGTATGTAATTCCTGCGTGTGCACCGGCGGGTAGGTACATATGCTTATATGTATACACTCGTGTGGAACCACTTGTTCACACCAATACATATATGCACACGTGTAGACACGTATTAAAGTGCATGTTACACTCGTGCATGCTCACAAGCGCGCTATTTCACGAACAGCCTGAATAGCTTCACGTAATCTATTCTTTTTTTAGTCTTCTTATTACATATCGTAATTTTATTAAAAAAATGAACTCCAGGGTTAACAAACAAAACGTAAAAAAAATGGGAAACTTTTTTCCTCTCCTCAATTATGTGGGCCTTTACAAAATTGTTCACCACATGAATATCGGAATTATTGTGAATGAGTATTTCCAAAGGGATGCTTTCATCCGTATTATTTTCAAACACAATTTCAAATTTGTACATTTTATTTACTACGTAAAAAGGATTCTCATTTTCCTTCAGGTATATCCGGATGTTATCTGTAATTATGTTTTTTTTTAAAAAGTGCGAATTGTTTATGCCTCTACCACCATTACTTGTGAAGAAAAGCATCTCTATGTTGGTTATATTTTCATCATATGGGGTTTTTAAAATGTGTAATTTGCTTTCCTCATCCTTTACACAAAAAATCATGGAATATTCATCATTCTGCTTCAAATAGTACAACCCATCATGCGTTTTAAGCGCGTCTTCATTTTTTATCAGTTCGCATTTTATGTCCTTAAACATAATATCATTGAGCATTATGTTATCCTGTTCGATATTTCTCACTACCGCCTCTATGTATATTTTGTCTTCCTTCTGAAGTATCAATGTCTTCAAATGGAACGGATTTTTACTTATAAAGTTGAAGTCCTTCCTCAACTTTTTCTTTTCACTTCCTTGCAAGTATTCCACTGCACAGTGAACTCTGTGGGAGACGCGAAAAAGAAAGAAAAAATATATAATAAGGAAAAAAAAAAAAAGTGAGGATAATTGTCTCTGCCAAAAGACAACCACATCAAAGAAAGTGATCAGGTAAAAAAAAAGGAACAAATGGAAAAAATGAATTGGTCTACAGAGAAAAGTTACCCTGTGCATAGCAACACATATTAACTCGCGTGATGAGCGTGCCACCGGTAACAAACACAGAAAAATGCTAACAGGCACCACCAAAACACGCTCCCTTAGGACCCTCCATTATCAATCATTCTTACGTGAACATGTCCGCAAAGGTCACTAAAAAAGTTGTTACAAAGTTAAAAAAAGAATTAGACTGTACTGTGACATGTTCCACACTTCTATATATATTAAACGTGGTCTGCCTTGTCATAACGTCAACACTGATTGTACTTATTTGAATCTCATTTTTCAAATTATTGGAAATATTAATTTGGGACTTCAAATTCTGCCCAATGTATATCTTCCCAAAATTGATCGGCAGACTTAGGCTAAATTCATTTGACAAACTCATGTCCTCTTTATTTTCATTTTTTTCAAAATCGATATTTGCTACTTCCTTAATCTTGAACAAGTTCCAAATGTTTAGGTTCAGACCTGGGGGGCTCAGGCGCAGCAATTCTATTTTCACACCTTCCTTGGGGTCATTCATTTTATTTTTTCTACAAGGTTAACCGTTCCCTAGCATCATAAGCATATGCGTATGGAGCGGCACATTGTTATGTTTGCTCCCATAAAGATATTATGGGCATGTGCGTATATATTCCAAATTATGACCCTCGCATTTCACACTCCACAGAGTTAAATTTCGCTGACATTTTCTGCCTTAGCATCTCTTCTTCCCCTTGTTATTGCTGTTATCACTTATGGTTCCTTTTCCCCTTTTTGTTTGTTTCCTTTTGTTACATTACCCCTTTCTTTTGCCTTTTTTTTTTTGTTTGTTTGTTTACATCTTCCCTTTTTGCGCCATTTTAGCTTACATATAGGCCTTCACTTGCTCCAACACGTGCCTCCCATTTTTAAGTGCAAAAAGCTCCATCTTACCAGAACGTCCCAAATAGGCACTGCAAAAGTCCTCCAAAAAATATTTTTTTTTCTTTTTTTTCACGCATAGAAAATTTTATTTTTTATCACAGCCGCAATATCTACTTTAATGCGTTGGAGTATAAATTTTGGTCCCACATTTGTCACTCCAAATAACATATTTGGCGTAAAAATATGGATGAAAAAAAAAATGACAGTTTTTGTGCGTATATGACTTTCAAATGGTACAAGCTCAGAAATATATGCGCCAAGGCCCAATTAGCGTAAACGGAAAAATTCTTCTAATAGGACTTCCTGGCATATTGAGAAAGAAAAAAGAGAAAAAAGGAACAGTGCAAAAGTAGATTAATACAGAGCCGCTGGAAGGAAAGCGTTATATATATATATATATATATATATATATATATATTGGCTTCGTAAATGAGATAGTATTTTTTCTGTTCTATAGTTATTTTCTAAGTTTAAAGAAAAATGAAAAAAAAAAATTACTTAGCAGAAATATACATTATATTCATGTACATAAGGACAAGATGTTCAATTTTAGAAAATTGCAGCTTTTTGACAGAGACCAAACGAAAGATACAGGTAAAGGAAATGAGCGGAAATAAAGCAACCCCATCGCATTTCTCATCATGAACAAATTCTATTTTTCCATGCAAGTATACCTTTTGCTGTACAACGGCACCCTTGTAAAAGCTTGCCAGTTCATGGGTGCGTAGGGTATTATACATGCTTGCATATGTTTAACCCCATAGTGTATACACACCTATGCACTTTTTTTTATTTTTTCTGTACTTCATTTCGATACGCATGTGCCTCCTCACTTCCGCAGGTGAAGTACAAAACTTTTTGAATAGCCATGAAGGGATATACTTTTCGACCTCCAAAAAATTTATCAACGTGTTTGTAGACAAGCTGCTTTTTATAGACCCTGTTAATCTAAACGTTACTACAATAAACTCAGATCTGTTCGTAGTCGATTTTTGTTTTTGTGATAAAACGAATAACCTCATTGTGCTTGGGTAATTCCGCGAGCTGGACTAGTGCGCCGATATGTGATTCTTCTCTGTTGTACCGGCACCACTGCCATTCGATTTATGTCCCTTTTTTTCCCATAACGTGGTTGATCTAGGGCTCGTGCATACTTGCTCGCTTCCTCTAGTATCCATATTATTATTTATTGTTCACCCGCCTCCTTTTTTTTTTTTAGCAAAAGCAAGAATGCCTTAGTATGCAGCATCTATAACATCAGGGCGTACAACTTCACCCTGCTGAAAAAAATACAACTAAGTAAGAACATCGAGAATATAAAGAAGACGCTAATTTCCAAGTGCCTCAGTTATATAACTACCCTAGAAAATAAAAAAATCTCATTTTATCACATAAATCATGACTACACCATCACGAAAAGTGAATTAACTCAAGTGGAGGAGGAAGACCTTTACGAAAACATGTTCCTATGTAGAGAGGACATCCTTATAGTGATGAAAAAGAATTCAATAAATGTGTACAGATTGATCATAAAAGATTCTTCCATAAGTTATACATTCATCGAATGCATCCCGTTGGACAAGAATTACTCTTCGAAAACGAGCGGAGGAACCTCCAATGGAGGCACAAGCAACAGTGAAAATGGGGAAAAAGACCCCACAAGTGATCACACCAGTAGCAGCAATAATGATAATGGACCATCTCCTTTCCACGAGCCGGTGTTGTGCACATACAACGAAGAAATAAACGTCTTGTACATCTGCCATAATGTATTGAATGTTCTCTTTGTGCTGGATCTCAGCAATAGAAGTCTGGAATACATTTTGCTAGACAATAAAGTTATAAATTTGTTCGCAGTAAAATTTTATTTAATCCTACTCACGCAAGTTAGAAGTAAGTTTTATGTGAACATATATATAATACATGAAGAAATGAAGCTGCAGGTCTTCCGAGGGACATTTAACTGCCTCATAACAAACGTTGTATTTTTTAACAACTTACTTTTTCTAATTGTCGACGAATACATACACCAGCCAGAGGTAAGGGTGGACAAGTTTTATTTTTACGAACAATTAAAAATGAAATGGAATGCAGCTGGAGAAGTAGTAAACCAGGGGAAAAACAGCAAAACTGATAGCATAAGCAATATCTTCACAGAAACAGAAAGCAGCAAATTCAAAAGTTTCGATATTCTAAAAATGTACAATGACAGTATTAACAATAATAGTGCCAGTAGTAACCTGATGATGAAAGGCGATTTAAAGTATGATATATTTTTGGATCGAAAAGATGAGGCCCCCAGAAATGGAAATAACAGCGCAGAAGACAAACAGTACTACTCAAAAAAATTATTTACATTAAACAAACTTTTTAAAAATTGTAGAAATCAAATAAAAGTTGTCATAAAAGAAAAGAACATGAACGAAATTGTACACATGTTTAAAAAAAAAAAGTTATTCCTTTGGTTATTAAAGTTTGCCGAATTGAACAAAAATTATCACACAATTAACGTTGGCCATGTGCATCACATATATGCCGATTTTTTATTCGAAAAGGAGAAGTACGAACTAGCCATGCATCATTACATCAACACCATAGGATTCCTAGAAACAGCCATCGTTATTCACAAATATTTAAACCTAGAGTTATATGAATATTTATCCAAATATCTGGAAAATTTACACGAAGTACATCTCTTCAATGATGAGCACACCATGATGCTTCTTACTTGCTACAAGAAACAATGCAAAAAGAAAAAAATCATATCCTTCATAAAGAACAATAAAAATAATATAAATTTGCAAAAAACGTACAAGTTTTTATCCAATGTTGGATACTACAATATCGTTTTGAAATTTTCAAAAAAGAATAAAGACCACTTGACCTACATCTCCATCCTCATTGACAAATTTGAAAATTACGAAAAAAGCCTTAAATATATATTCAAGCTGGACGTAGAAAATATATGCATTCTGCTTTTTAGATATGGATACAAGTTTATCAAATATTTCCCGCAACGCACCATTCTTTTGTTAAAAAAAATCATTAAAAAGTACAATTTAAATTTGACAATATTTATTCCCCTATTCCTTGACAACATAGATTTTCTCTTTCTCTTTATCCTTAAATTTCTCGATAAAAAAAATTCAGGGGGGGAAGAAAAAAGAAGCGTGGTGGAAGCAAATGACACAGCGAGGGATTCTCAAAAAAATTCGCAAAACCTTTCCATACAGGAGGAGAACATCCTCCCAACACAAACCAACCAAAGACATAAACCCTCCCCTCTGCCCCACGACACCACACTGTACGACGAAACTGAAACTACAGCTAACATAATAAGTAACAAAAAGATAGAGTTCGACATATTCAATGGGGAATATGATTACATCCTGTTCGTCACCGTCATGCAGATTCTGCTTCAGAAATACAAGACAAAAGAAAAAGAGAACCATGTCCTCACCTTCAACATAGATAAGCTCATAAAAAATGAAGATAAAAATATAACCTTCCTATCAGCCATTCTGTTGTCTATTTATAACTACAACAAGGGGCTTCTTTACGTCTCCAATAAAATGAACAAGCATGATATGTACTTCCTTTTTACGACCCTAAAAATGATGAAAAAATTTAGACTGAATTACGCAAAGCAGGCACTACAACCCCCAATGCACAAAATCAATCTTCACAGTCATAACACCCCACTGAAAAGTTACAACTTAATACAAATTACAAATCAAGAATTTGCGAAAAAGTTATTTAACACGTGTATGTACCTCTTGAAGGAAGAAGGCTCCATGTGCCACAATTACATTTTCTATTACCTGTCTTTACTAAATGATGACAAATACCTCACGCGGTTTGTAAAAATATTAAATAAAAAATCATCTATATCATTGTTGCACCTGATAAGCACTCTGAGAAAATATAACAAAAATTATGGATGCGTGAAGAAAATGGTGATTTCGTATATAAACCAAATGAACAGAAATATAAATAAAATATATGCTCAAGTAGTGAGAGATAAAAGGGAGTTATATAAAATTAAAAAAAAAAAAAAAGCCAGCCAAAAGTACAACTTTCACATTATTGATAATACTTATTGCTCCATCTGCAAGGAAATATTATCCGTCCCAATTATCCATTTCTTGTGTAACCATTCCTATCATTTTTATTGTCTAAATGGGGAGGAACATTGCATCCTTTGTCAAAATAAGGATAATGAAAAGAAGTTACTCAAGGAAAAGGCCAAAAATGCCATCAACAATTTTGATGAATGTTTTAAATATTTGCAAGGCTCTCCTGATAAGTTTTCCTTCATTTCGAATTATCTATCTTATGGTGTTACTCCAAGTAAGTGAGAAGCAGTTCGTATTCTTTTGTCCGTCCCACAGGGGGAAAAAAAAACAAAACAAAAAAAAAGGGGAGGGACATGCCCATCTCCAACATGGGGATATTTTCCCCCGTTTTATGTGATGCCGTTTTTTAAGACTGGTACACCATTGCGTTGTGTGGTCACAAAATTGGCCATGTTGTGGATGCGCATGTGCCCAGCCACATGCTTTGGCAGAATGCTGCAGTCATTTGGTTGGCCTGATGTGAAATTTGTTTTTGTTTTTAATCATTATATTTAGATATATATATATTTTTTTGATATATTACTATCATTACTGACAACACTTCCAATTTTGGGGGCATTTCTTAAATCATCTTTTTTTTTTTTTTCTTTTTTGCGTACGTTGCACGGGTGCCCTTGTCCTGCACTTCCCCATCTCAACTTCATTTTTGCCTACCAAATTGCATTTAGGCCTATATGTAACTTCCTCTTTGTTCATTTTTGAATAACGTAAAAGGAGGTTTTATTGTCCTCCCTCCAAACAACAATAATGTAAACTTTTTAACTCTAATTAAACCTTAAGTACTATGTGTGCTCATTTTTTTGTGGCACAAAATCGATTGACCCAAATGTGCTTCCTGGGATGCACAATCTGGATGCCTATTTCACCTCCCGCATGTGCACCAGCATTGTTGCATATTAGCAGGTAACCAGAGTATCCTACAATCCCACATATAACATCTGTTTCGTTGCTTCTATTCTTTTAGCTTTTTATAAGAAGGGTTACTCCTAAAGCATGTTAACACACATTTGGAACCCACCCTTCATGCACAACATAGAGATTATCGCCGTCTACTATAGCCACCCCCTCCATAATGCAAAACAACCCTGTGTAACTTAACAAATGTAAAATACTTATCAATGGTTAGACCACTTGGTCTTGGATTTCTTCTGATCCGTTTCCTCTCCTTTTTCGTTAAACAAATCAATAGATAAAAAATCATTAGGGTTGTAAATATTCAAAGGATAATTAGATGAATACACATCAATTTGAAAAATCTGCATAATTTTTTCCAAAATGCAGGGATTTTTATATTCATTTGAGTTAATTATATTTTTATTAATTGTTAAATTTATTTCATACAGTTTTGACAGTTCCTCTATTTTTTGGTTCAGACAATCTGAGTACTCATTTGGGGGCAGGAAAAATAAGTCATCAAAATTGTTTTCGTTTACGCTGATATTCATAAGGTTATTACTGTCTAGGAGGTTGCTTCCCTTCCCAATTAAGCTATCCGTGTGCTCACTCACTAGTGGTACGCTCCTCTGATTGTTGTCCCCTTCCCTCTGATGCTCACCTGACCATACTTCGGTACCGCTGCCATCAATGCAGTTTTCGTCATCGTCACCGCCAACGCAACCTTCATAATCTGACATTTTGTCTGCGCCTTTTAATTTACTAGATAAAGGCGCTTCACTGGATGCCCCCTTCACCTCTGCAATAACATCGTTACGCATTTCACCTGCGTCGTGCGTTTTATCCCCCACGGATGCGTCTGCTCTACCCGTATCCCATTTCTTCGCTAGATGGATATGCGCCTTTTTTTTAGCACACGCCGTATCGGTTTCATTTCCACCAAGATCGTGATTTACGTTCTTACTAGCGCTATTGTCCCTTCTCTTTTTTTCATTCTTTTTATTATCTGTACATTCATTTTCTCCTTTTACTGAATCTCCGTGCTGAATCTCCCATTTCTGAGGTTCCTCACCGTGTTCTTCGTCGCTGGAAAGTTCGTAGTCGACTAAATTCATCCTAACGAAGAACAAGAAATGAAACAAAAGCATGAACTATTCCACGTGGGATACATAAAAATGTTAATAAATATGCTCATGTGTGCGCTTATGTTTACGTGTACAATACCCTTTCCCTTCTTTATCGGTTTGGAAAAAGCGTTCGTCCTATCAACCGCAGTGGTGTCTTTTATGCGTTAAATCAACACTGCCCTGTAAAAAACACGAGCATACAGAAAATGCCTTGCCCCATAACTAATGATGCACATTTATACCTTATTTCTCACTAAAAAAGTTAAACGAACGTACTATTCATAATTGTGAGTACCCCCGAATGCACACTGTACCTGTACCATTTCGAAGTTCACAGAATTAGGAACACATGAATCAGAAGCTAAGACAAATGTCACACACCGGGTGTAGTTTAATAATCTTATAAATGCTCGTGCAGGGTATACTTAAAATAAAAATTCATAAAAATGATTCAGCAGGTATTAAAAAAAAAATTCCATTATTTGTGCAGAACGTGAAGACGTCAGATGAAATAACGACAAATAGTGAGGCACATCATTATTGTAACTTTTTTTTTTCTTCTTCTTGTTCTTAATCATAACATCGCAATGCTCAGTTATAACTAGCTTGCTTTCGCTTGGAAATGGTAAAAGTTCAGATCTGTATTTTTCGCCCAAGCCCTTCAACAGCAGAGATGCATTGTTGTGCCAACGTATTTATCATGTGTTATTATCTTCGCAGAAAATACGCTGTTAATCTTAATGCTTTCCCTACGACCGCAATGCACACATAAATGTACAACATGTAAAAAGGCATCATCCTCATAAAGGAAAAAAAAAAAAAATGCTACCTTTGTTGTGTAAACAAAAAAAAAATTCTTCAAATTTTGAAAAAATTTTAAAACCCTTTTTTGAAGTCTCCCCAAGTGGTAATAGATCCAGTGGGATGAACATATATATAACTCCTTAAAAATTTGTCGATTTTTTAAATTTTTAAAAACATAAGTGGTTCTTTCCAGCATGTAATTAATTTTTTTTTTATTCTCTTCCTGTTTTTACCCTCCATTTTAAGTAGAGCAACATTTAACCATTTCACGAAACGGTAGTTTATTTTTACTTTTGCTCCCCCCTTTCTGTATTCCATAAGCAACTCCAACGATTGCTTGAAAATCGTTGTGTATATATTATAAAAAAGAATGCCGCAACACAGTACCCTTTTCCGTCACGTCAAAAAAAGGAAAGCATAAGAATATTGGCTTAATACAAGATAATGAAGAAAACAGAATGACATAAGGGAAGATGGCTTATGTTCGATTCGCTGAAATTTACAATTTACTGGAATGAAAAATTAATTCATAAAAAAAAAGGGGGAGAGGCGCGTACTGTATATTTACCACAATATTTGTATGCCTTAACGCCAGTTTGTTTCAACCTCAGTTTTGGCAACTACACATATTAAAAAAAAAAGGCCATATGCAATACTTTTCTGCGAACAACGTAATTGAACTTAGAAAAAAAAAAAAAAAAAAAAAACACACAATTTGGAAAGTAAGACAATTTGAATCTACCCTTTCAACCTCCACGACCATATCAACTCAAACGAAGCTCAGGTAAAAGCTACCACCTGTTACACATTTGTGGAAGAGCACCTGGAAAGGATAAATAATGCTGATAAATGCGTACATGGATATTAAGAGAAAACATATAAATTTCGTGTTTAAAAATGTGAATTCCTCGGTAAAAGGTAATTCAATTTTCTCTTCAAATTGCATTGCCACTGCATACTCCTCGTCATAGCCTGTGTCTACAATTTCCCTTATATGCTCTTAGACAGTTGGGGGGAAACCGTTGTGTACATTTATGTCGATTGTGCAGCGTAAACCAGTCCTGGCATTTTTTCCTCTTTTTTTTTTTACCACAAATGTTTCTCCAACCAAGAATTAGCATGTGTACCTGTGTGTGCATTGCGTCCTCCTTTTAGATGCCCAATTGCATACGCATTGCACATTTTTATAATATATATATATTTCCCCCCCCCCCCTACACATTCTCTTTCTCCCTATACATAGATTACAATTTCAAGAGACCATACTTTGCGGAAAGGTGCACACTTTCGAAATTCTCAAACCATGAAGGCGTTAAGGTAAACAGTAGTAGCCTGTCCTTCAGCACAAAGATGCAATTAAGCCAATTTAAGACGACCAAATTAGGAAGAAGCGAATATGGAAAAGCTAGTGAAAAGATAATCCACATAATAAATACCTACTTAAAAGGGGACACATTGAACAGGGCGAACCCCATTGATAACCGCACTTACACACATAACGTGATGCGTAACTGTACAGTCAGGGCAAGCGTGAACGCACGCATGTTCACCACTCAAACCACAACAACGCAGGGATGTGTAATTACTCAAGAAAATGCAAGCAGCATTATGAGCTTACGGGCTAAGAACAGATATTTCCAAATTGAAGTGCGGAAAGGCGTACACACAGGGAAAAACCAGAATGATGGGAAAAGTTCCCAAGCAACAGGCAGTGTTAGTGCAAGCACCAGTGAAGCCACTTTAGAAAGCAGTATCGAAGGCACCAACCCAAACGCGCATTGCGCACATCAAAATGAAAACAGTGATACAATCAGGACGGCGGAAAAAAGGACCACAATGGATCTACGCACCAGCGGAAACGCAGATTATATTCATAGTGGCACAAACAATAAGAAAGTCCAAAAGGGAATTCTATCCCCTTACACGAGTAAAATGTCACAAATAATTAACAACTTATTCGAAAAACACCTCCTATTAATGAATTGCCTAATAGCGGGTACGTTATATTTTATAGCGGACATAGCTTGTCAAATGATGGAATTACATAAAAAAGGCAATGAATATGATTTTTTAAGAACGATCAGAATGTCTACTATTGGGTTAACCCTAGAAGGGCCAATCATGACATGGTGGTATGGGAAAATTTTAGCAAATTTTATAAAGTCCAAACCGAACACTTTTTTGTACAAATCTTTTATACCTACCTTGTTTGATAATTTTATTTTTGGACCTATCCACTTAACAATTTTTTTTTTTTATAATGGTATGTTAAAAAATCAAAGGAAGTCAGAAATTATTGACAAAATTGTGAATACTGGGATGAAGGTTTTCTTCATTTCTTTGATGACATGGACACCATTAACATTAGTTAATTTTGTTTTTGTTCCGAGGATTTATCAAGCCACGGTGGTTTTTTTCGCAGACTTTTTTTGGGTCATCTTCCTCTCGTGGTGTGCCAACAAAACTTGAGCAGGTAATGTAGGAGGCATATGAACCCTGCGCAAACAGCGGTGTAGCCAACGCAGAACAGATTACAAAGCACAAAACAATTTGTACAAAAAAATGAAAAAAAAAGTTTAACAGGTCAGTAACTCACACTTCAGCAGCGATTAAATGCGCATTTTTTTTTTTTTTTTACTCATTTTATGTTACCAGAACGAGAGCTGTCCCTTTTTAAGAACATTTCCCCCCAAAGAAGGAAAAAATAACGCATAAGAAACAAATAACACATTGGGATATGGAAGGCACACCCACGCGCTATTCTTACCTTTACCCTTTCCAGACATTTATAATGCACTTCTCAACAGGCTATATGTAAATATACGTACATATGTACGTATGTGTGTGTATATTTTTATTATTATTATTATTTTTTTTTTTTTTGAGTGATGTGCAAGGGAAAATGTGCCTTGCCTCCAACGCTAGTTCAAATGGTGCTCGGCCAAACATTTTGTTCCATTAGGCACATGACATCATTCGCCTCTTTTTAATTTTAACCACATCTACCATAATTCAGTTGTCTTACTCATTGTATTATCTTCGAATTTATGTGATCATTTTCTTTCTATCTAATTTTTTATTAAATTCCCCCTTTTCAGTTCCCATTTTGAAATTACCCTTTTTTTTTTTTTTTTTTTTAACTCATTTGTAACCCTTTTTTTTTAACTTTGAAAAATATCATCCATTGTTTTAACGCGTCTATAATTATGTTATATAATATTTAAACTAATCGTAGCTATGTAAACTTCGCAAATGTTTTTACAACAAATGAAACATCGAGGAAGAAATTCAAACTCAGAAAAGAAAAACGGACAAAGCAGCTTGAAGTAGCAATACTAAGTGGACGTGGAAAACAAAAAAAAAAAAAAAAAAAAAAAATTAAAACGAATTGGCTAAAAAAAAGGAGTTCTCACAGGGATCAACGCTTAACCCTCTTCCACTACGCACGCACAAGGAATGCTGAAAAGAGTTAGAACACACATGTAGGTGCAATTTATATTTATAACGTGATATACTTTTCCTTTTTTCTGAGGAAAGAAGGCTGGAGTGTGGTTACACAATTGGCCCCTCTGGTCTTTCCACTTCTTTCCCTGTTCGTGTAACTCCAACTTTCAATCTGGGAATAGATCACCAATTGTGTTGGCAACCTTGTCAGCGTTTGTGTCAGCTTCTTTGTCGGCTTCTTTGTCAACCTTTTTGCCAACTTTTTTGTCAACTTTTTTGTCAACCTTGTTGCCAACTTTTTTGCCAACCTTTTTGTCCGTTTTTTTTCCCTTTTGCGAGTTTTTTTCCTCACTTGTTTCAAACGTTAAACTGAAATCGTTGCCACGATAGTAACCATTTCCCGGAGCACTGGCGTCCATGTTAGCGACACTGTTGAGCTTACCCTGGACATTCTGATCATTGTTACGATTAGCCCTAGCATTCTTGCCACCCTTTTGGGGACCCATCTTCAGATTATCCTTCATGTTCATTTGGCGTTGCTTCAACATGTGCTTTCTGTCCTCCTCAAATATATCATACCTATTATCATTTGAAGAACTACACCACGTTTCCACTTCAGTAATTTTCGAGGATGCTCGATTTTTCATTTTACTCTTTTTTTTTTTCAGAGAGTTATCTCCAGGGAAAGACGGCACATCAAAGCCATTCCCCTTATTGTCACCATTTATGTGTCTTAATGAGGAAGGGCTCATTTCTTTTTTCACATTTTTTCCCTTTTTCTTTTTGAAAGGATTATTTTTCTTCTTTTTCCTTTTTAATTTAATGTGCTTTTCTATAATGAGGAATTCCTCTACATCCGAGTTGTCAACTTTTTTTATCTTCACTTTTTTTTCATTTTCCAAAATGTCATAAAGCTCATCGATATACACCAAGGAACTGTTGGCATGGAAATTGCTTTCATCCTTATGTGCTAATGTGTTGTCGTTTTCTTTTAATGGTTCTTTCTCTCGGTTAAAATTTCGTATGTATAAATCATTGTAATAGTTCATGTTATTCCAACTTGAGTTATTATCACTTACGAAATCGAAGCGATGGTTGAATTCCTCAGGCGGGGTTCTGTTCCGTCTGGCTTGTATGACTTTCTTGCAACTGTTGCCCATGATGCGGAAAAGGGAGCACCAACGTTTTTTCCTCGACAATGTGACTAACTCCTAAGTGGTTAACACAGTATACTTAAAAAATGTGGACACCCTTGAAAAACGTGTTTCCAAAAAAAAAAAAAAAAAAAAAAAAAAAAAAAAAAAAAAAAAAAAAAAAAAAAAAAAAAAAAAAAAAAAAAAAAAAAAAAAAACAAAAACAAAAACAAAAACAAAAACAGCATGAACAAACATCAAACGGGGAATCCACAAATGGAATAAGTCCTATCCATTGCTACTAGAAACATGTCGCCCAAAAGTGTAAGACGTCTAAACAATTAATCTGGCGTGAGAACAGCTCATCATTCTGTTTTCAAGACACAGGCTTGTCCTACTCTTCTACACACGATGAACGCAAAATAGGAAAAGGAATGTAATTATTACAACAGACGGTAAATGCTCATTTTAAGTACACTTACATGTTTATATACGCACATGCACACATTTGCGCGCTCAGCATGTACCCATAAGTGCGTGTTTGTAAAGTAAAAAAAAATGTGCGGATAATATATAAACAGTTGGAAAAGAAAAAAACAAAAAAGGGCTGCAATATCTTCACATTTAATAAGAAGCAATTCTGTTCTGTTGTTTCACATGAATGGGAAAAAAAAATATATATATATACACATATATATATAACTCAAATAATGCTTTTAACGTAAGCTATGTTTGAAGGATTTTAAAAAAAACTCAACCACATTAAAGAAAAGAATGTAATGAAATCATAAGACAGCATTGCAAATGTATAACTTGCGAAGAGTCACTTGTACCAATCCCGATTTTAATTGTCAAACGAAAAAAACGCACGAACGCATTTAAGAATGAAGATAACATGGCATCAATTAAGAAGTGGAGAAAAAAGACGAAAATGGAACGAAAAAAAGAAAAAAAAAAAAAAAAAAAAACGAAAAGGGCAAATTTAACAAAATTCATCAAACCAACCTCGATAAACTCTTACACATACACGCCACTTACATTTTCAGTCTGCATTTTTTTTTTCTTTTTTTCCCTTGTTCCTCCCCCTTTTTCTACATGTGCCAGTTTATAAAAATAACATTACGAAACTATTTATTTATTGTCAACTTGGTTCACGTATTTGTCTTTTCGCGTATTTTCCTCAGTACATCTTTGTAACATAAAAAACAGATTACACAAAATCGTGCACACTTATCTTAACTGAAACGCGAGTTGAGCAAATTTTTTAAGCCATTTGAAAAAAAAAAATAAATAAAATAATTCCTCAAACAACTCGCGTTCTTTACCTAAATTTAAAATGAGTTAGGGCACTTTTCATAGGCTACGCCGTGATGTACGTACTTCGCTTTTTTTCATGTCCCTCAAAGCATTTTTTTTTACGTAAAAAAAAAAAAAAAAAACTGAGTAAATTGTCAAAGTTTACAAACGAAGTAAAACCGCGCAAAATGCCCCTTGCTCTCACAGCACCCATTTTTGCGTTTACCAAAGAATGTGCACATATTAACTATTTTGCGCTTATATACAAAGCTGTGCACAAGGCATGCCAACCTATTTTATATCCCCTTCACCTGCTCCTACTTTGTCAAGTTTAAACATCCCCACGGAATCTTCTCATATTTTCCCCAATGCTGCTTCATTTGGCAGATTTTCTCGTACTGCAAAAAAGTGTAGTAGACAAGTATGTACTACAAAAATGTTGCAGCAAACATCCAAAAGCAGTGTCAGACGCGTCCACGTTCACGTGAGGGAAGTTCACTTTGTAAAAAAAGAAAAATAAATAAAATAAAAATAAGCAAAACCTTGACGGCACAAAAAGAAGCAAAGCGTTGAACGCACAACATTAAATCCATCATGCTGCACGGGGGGACCCGATTAAACGTTCCAACCAGTCCTTTATGCGCTCAATCCTGGGAGACCCAGGAATATAATTTCCTTGGACGTATTTAGTGGTGGGTAAACAAAGTTAAATGGTGATAAAATCTGTTAAGTTGGCAAAAATTGTGAAATCTCATAAAATTCGAAAACTATACAGAAGCTGCATGAATGTTTAAAGCAGTATGCACATTTCAAAAAAAATGAAGTATAAAGGATCATTTACGCGAAAAATATATATATCGAGAATGATTTATCACCCACACATTTTGTACACAAAGAAAGCGATTACTAAAAGTTTCATACACGTCCTAACAAGAACTAGAGTCTACTATGATAATGTAAAACGCTTCAAAAAATTGCTTTATTTTAAAAAAAAAGAAATAAAAAAAATGAATAAATTAACGAAATAACCAAAATAATGAAAAAATTAATGGATGACGCATTTTTGTAGAAAATTTCCAACGTGGACACAACTTTATAATCTATATGTACATTTCATGCAGGCGAAAAAAAAAAAAAAAAAAAAAAAAAACTACACAACTGTGCTATACAAAAATGGATACACACGGACATAGAAATATACACCCGAGTTGGTACAATACAAGTGGTAACCGTCACAACTGCGCCGCAAACTATTCAACTTAGAACAGGTACCAGCACAAAAGGAACAAGATCAGGAAAATGAAATTGTTGATGGAGTTAAAAATGCCGTAGGAGCAGTATATTCCATCTCCTTGAAAGTGGTCCTTACACTCACACACAATTTTTTTGTCTACAAGAGTACAGGTTGCGTTCACATCACAACCACCGTTGTTGTTGCTACAGTCAAGGGTATCATCCCTAACACAGTTCATAACATTATCAATTTTGACGTCGCTAAATCCTGGTAAACATCTGCAGACTTCCTCTCCATCAATGACATAGCAGTTGGAGTTTAATGGGCACTTTTTATGTTCACAGACATTATTTTTCTGAAGGAAGTTAAGGGCGAATTGTTTCATGTTGCCACCTTTGTGTTCAACTTGTACTGGGTATACCATCTTGGTCTTTCGGTTAATTTCGATTTTAAAGAATTTGGCAGAAGATTTCTTAAGTAACTGAATTATGTCTTCCTTCATCTTGCAATTTAAGTTCATTCCTGATTGTGCAAATTTAACCATTTTATCCAAAGATGCGGACTCCAATTTGAAATTCAGGGACTTTAATGCGTTCAATAGTGCATCAACCAATTCGGATGTTTCGTGAATAATTATATAATTAATGAGTTCGAAATCATCTAAATAATCATTTAAATCAAATGAGTCGTCTTTAATAAAATGTTCATTAATTCTATCAAATAAATTCTCTAACATCTCTAAGACAAATTCTTCAATACTCGTATTATTTTTTGCTAATCCTTTTTTAATTTTCTGTCTGGATTTACTTAATTTGGGGTCATCCACATTGGAGCATTTTTTTTGGAGTTCTGGTAAATTTGTAATGTATTTATTTTCACAAACTCGGGAAATTTTTTCTCTGAACAATAATATATTTTTTAACATCTTCAAATCATATTCTCCAATGATCTTTCTTTTACTAGTTTCTCCATCATCTTCGTCAACTAATTTGACACTGTACTTATCCAACATGTTGTAATCTCCATCGAGAAGTACTTGAACATTTTCCATTTCATCAACAATTCTAAGGATTTTCTTTAAAGATGCTTCATTCATTTTATTACTACCTTCATCATTCTGGTTGCCATTCGCATCAGATTTGCCGCTACCATTGTCAGCATTATCTACAGAGTTCTTCTCATCTGAGCCGCTGCCATTATCGTTCTTCTTATCATTTTTATTTGATGCGTCCTTTCCATTCTTTTTAGAATTGTTGTCATTATTGTTGTCGTTCACGTTATTGTTATTTCCTCCAGTGAACGCTGGTACATCGCTTCCATTTCCGTTGCCTTTATTTCCGTTGTTGCCATTTACCGCGTTCTCATTACTTCTGTGTGGGCTGCTGATTCCGTCAGCTCCGCACGTACAGCTAAGCAATCCCAACAGGAAGAAAATTATTATTTGCGTATTTGTCCTCATTGTTGTTTTGAGTTTTGAAGATACAAGGTGCTAACACGTAATGGGTAAAATATACTACCGATTTTTACTTGTTACAGGTAAAAAAAAAAAAAACTACAAATTTTTTTTTTTTTTTTTTTGCTACTTTTTGTATAAAATTCGCGAGATGGCGAACGCAGCACCGTAAATGTACAAAAATTTACATACAATAAACAATGTACGCGGTTCTCCACAAATGGGAACAATAAGCACAGGTTCGTCCTTCCCTTGGAAGTTTCAAAATGAAAAAAAGCTAAGGCTTAAGAAATATAAACCTCTATATGCCTATGTAAAGTATATACATATACTTATCTATATATATATGTGTACATATATATAAAGGCAACAGATGTAAAAATTAAGAATGATTGTTCACTACAAAATCATGAAAAAAAAAAAAAAAAAGAAAAAATCCTTTAATATTTCAATTATTTTTTTATATTGAAAAAAAAAAAAAAAACATCATTTCAATTCAAGAGAAAGGAAACGTTTTAGGTGTTTGTATCTCATTATTTATTTTTTTTTTTTTTTGTAATAAAAATAAATGATTAATTTTGCCAATTCTTCTCGCTTTGGGTTTGACGGGGAGAAGGAGGAGGATGGGAAATAGTGGCGCTTGTACAAATAAATCCACTTGGATCTTGCGAAGCAAATACAAAAGAGGCTTTAAGGCTACCACATAAACAAGTGCTTAAATAAACATCCAAATTTGCGTTGTGGCGTGGTCATCATTGAATGATATATGTATATATTTTGCTACGTAGAAGCGCCCCCTCCTCCCCATTTGTTTATGGGAATTTATACTCATTCTCTTTTTTTTTTCGTATATGCTACTCGCTGCCCCGCATGCAATATGCAAAAAATATATTGATTCAAAGTAATCAGCGTGGACATACCAAACGCGTATTTCTCTCCCTCATGTAACGCATTCATGCATGGAATCCTTTCATGGATACTCTAATATACCATACCACGGTATTCTGCTATGTTAGAAAAGCCGCGCTCGGGTTTATTCGTTTACACCCCTTGAACCTATATGTTTAAATCCTGCATTCTGCCCGTGCATCAGCATTTTCATGCAACATCACCCATGGGGTTTCCAAAAATTATTAAGGCAAAGCAACAATACCCCAAAACCATTAATTTCTTATCCATTTTGCTTTTTATACTGCCTTTTGTGTTGTGTTCTGTACCCCCTTGTAATATTATGTTTGCCTCCTCCTTTTCTGCAGATGTTTGACACCGCGTTGTTTTATTTTCTGCGCCCCCTTATTTTGTTAAAAAAGTGGAAGGCGCGCTGCAGCTCGTGAAGCGGAAAGGGCAATAAAAAGAGTCAAGTGCTTAATTGTGAACAAACTTACACAAAAACACGTACAGCAACACAAAGTTAATTTTTTTTTGTATTTTTTATTCTCGATGGGAATAACGTTGTTTACTTCTTATGCCTTCTAACAGTCGTAACATTTAATAATAACACTCTGAAAAGGAAAAAAAAGCAAAAACTTATTACAAATGGTAAACATTTTACGAAAAAAAAACTAACTCATATTTTTACATTTTTTAAAATGTTACAGAGTTGGGGTAGGCCCAGAAACAGGTATGAACACAAATGACAGATGAACATTTTTTTTAAAGCGTATTTTTTATGCTACCGCTCTACCACTGCCCCTGGACACCAAATGATGGCAGCAATATTCATGTAACCTTTGTAAGATTAATGACAAAGAGGAAAAAATACACACATGAACAAAATGGTTCCTTTCCCCTCCCAATTTTATCTCTTGTACGATAAAATTATAATTTTTTTTTTTTTTTTGTTTTCCACAATGCGCAAGTTTTGTTCACCTTGCTTGGGTTAGGATTGATAGGTTAAAATGTCATTCTTGTATAGCCATAAGCCATATGTTGCTTTATTTGTCCATCTGCTCGTTTACAATACATAGGGGCTTTAGTGCCGTGAAAAGGGGACCAACTGAATTGCGCCCATTTTCCTGCATTCTTACATTAGAACGGAAATTCATCAATTCGAAAGTAACCATTTTGAGTAGTGCTGTTGCAACAGAGGCGAAATCACGAATCTTCTGGGCAGTGCCGTACCATTTATTATATTTCTTTCTTAACGCTGTAATGGTTAAAGTGTCTACACAAATCGTATTACTAACTGTCCTTACCGCTTCTACGTACGCGTCCACAAACTGCCAACATCAGGGGACATCATTCGGGGCTCCCCACAAGTATAATAACAGAAGTGTAAACGCCTTTACAGAAAGCTATATAATGTATATACGAAAAAACGCGTTCAAATCACTCCATTACTTTAACCGCAACCCCCCCTCTAATCTACAAAATGTAGCATATACTTCATTTTATAGTTCTTCGGGGCATATATTTTTTCCCCCAAAAAATGCACATCTCCAAGTTAGTAAATAGTGCCGCTGTTTAAAGGATACTTATGTGATATTGACAGCATTTGTACGTTGAACTGATCCACGTAATCTTGCCTGCGGGTTTTATTTCGGTTCATATGTATGTTCAAGTGATATCTCTCAACGTGCCTCTGTTCCTTTGCTTTTACCCTCTTTGGGATTTTTTAAACGGTTGCAAGGAATTTGAACTGCTCAGGTCTCACGATGCACGGGGAAATGCACATATGGGTAGGGAAGTGTGCAGCTCGAGTCGCGCCGAGACGGTTCCGCGTGCACATTAGAGGGATACCCCTTTTGGGGGGGGCATAGAATAGGATTTTATTTATGCACAGTAAGGTATAGTTCTTCCATTTTCTCTTACACCCAATTGTTTGTAAGTGCGTTTTAATTTTTTTTTTAAGATGGCTCACCTGAAGGTGCAAATCGGCCTATGTTCATGTGCACGTCTGCACACCTGAACCAGACGTATATATACATTTGGAAGGTGAACATTGGGTAATTGGCTGGAGCAGCCTTCCTACCACGCCTGAGATTCTAACGTCTCACACATTTTATGCTTATGTTCCACCCTAGGAACATTCAAAAAGGAAAAAAAATAAAACTATTCTCAGTGCCAGCACCATGAAGCTGTTCGTTACGGCACTTTCCCTGCTGCTCACTTTGTTGGCGAAAGGATGCAGATACATATGCAGCCAGGGTTCTTTCCCAGATGGTGAATACCCAATTTTCATTAGCAACATACTGATAAACAATGTCTCGTTTACCTTTCATAAAGATAAATATCATTACAAATTAGAAGCGAGTGAACATCTGACAGAAATTACACTGAGTCCATTCTTAAACATTTGGGAAAATTACATATATAAAAAAACCTCCCCAGAAGACGAACTCTTCTTTAATGAAAACACGTGGGCGTATTTAGACAATGAACAAAATGTCGTCATGGAAGAGTTGTACCTAAAACCATATCACATTTATGTTAACAAGGAAAAGGTGCATCTAACAGATTTACCCTACAGGATCCACTTCTCAGGTGCGGGACAAAAGGAATTAGACATGTGGTATGAAAGACAAAAAACGTATAAAATTGAAATAAAAAATAATAACGAGCATTCCAATTTCTACCTAAACGATGTCATGCTAACTAGTCAGCCATCCTCTACACGTTTATTACATGACAGAGAATTCAAAACTTACATTTATTTTTATACTACCAAGGTTGCTCAAAATGTTGAAGGGATAAACATTCAAGCCAGCGGCCGTAACAGCCAAATGTACATAAATAATAATTTAATTAAAAAAGACGCCTCGTTTTTTTCCCTTGAATAAGAACACTTATAACAACGTTTTGGTATTCGAGTGTAGACAGGAAGTACTGCTTGAAAAAGAACAACTCTTCGGAAAAAAAATTTAAAAAATTTTGAAAAATTTTATCAAATGCATGTTTAAAAAACGCGTAATTTATAGCAAACAAAAGGGAGAAAAACAAATTGGTCTCTTAGACCAAGTGAAGGGCAAATGCCATAAGCTGATTGGTAATACAAGTTCGCTCAAAAAAGACGATAAAAATATATCTACGTATCAACCCGATTGGCGCCAAACGGGTAACCTATCGTTTGAATGACATAAATTATAATCCCTTTGCAAAAAAAAAAAAAAACGTGATTAAAAAAATGTTCAGAAAATTCTACTTTTTTAATATCTATTATCATGTCCATATAGATGTACCAAAATATATATACAACCTCTCCGATGGAAATGTGTGCCCTTTTCATCCAACAGAGAGCACGGAGTCCATTGGGGAATACCTCTGCAGTGACTTTCACAAAAATATCTCCTTCTACGCAGATGTCAATAACAAATTATTTGCCTTCATAAAGGTAGACACAAAAAAAAAAGGATACACAGATTTATTGACAAAATTTTAAATGCACCTATACCCCACTCAGAAAATCTATATCTTTTTCTAGAAACGTATTACTATAACAAGGTCGTAACAATTAATTTTAAAAAGGGAACCTCCCTATTTTCCTTTTTAATGCTTCTCTTCCTAACTCTAGTGGCCATTTTCCCATGTGTTTTGGGCCTCTTTTGGCGCAAAATTTGTCATTGAGCAAAGGGCAGGAATCACGCAGGCTGAAAAGTGTGGCTCCACGGATCATTTATGCCTTTTTCCCAACAGCCAATCTGTACTGTATCGCACTTTTCGGCTACATTTACGTTGTGCGCATGGCGCATTCCTGCTTTCAAAAACACACATCACGTTGTCACAAAAATTATGTTGTCCCTCGAAATTGTTTCACTGTCTACTTTAAACATCCGCGCAAAGTCCCTTCTGAGGAGTCATGGGCCCTTTTCAAAGGTAGCCAAAAAGCCCTGAAAAAGGGAAAGAAGCATATGACAACTGCTAATTAAGTGCGTTACACATTACTCATCCGCAATCGCACAATCGTGCAATGTGATCACTCTTTGCCATTTACATTTATGCAATCGTGCAGCTTGTTAATCCTGTTCGCCAGACAAATTTTCTCCTTCTTCGTTTTTATGTCTTCACAAATGGAGTGTATAAAATCTAGTGATCTTTCCACTTCCCGTTTCTGCGAGGAGGGAAACGTCCACGTCCATGAGTGTATGTGTTATGCGTCACTGCCCGGTTGAGTGTGCACTAAGGGAATGCCATTTACTCTTTTACATATGTTTCTGCCTACATCTTAGTGCCCCCTATCCCCCCCCTGAACGTTCACGCCTAGGTATTCTCTTGTTACACAAAAACTTATCACAGTTTGTGCTTACAAAAAGAAATTTTTTCCGTTCAATTTCCTCAAAATAGCTGTTTTTCTCATTTTTAATTTTTGCAATGATCTCCTTCTGGGTGTTTATGAGAACGTCGGCTGTCTGCAATCGGGGAATGGACTCGCACACGCCCATCCGCATAAACACACGTGCAGATGGACGTGCAGGTATACATGCAGATGGATCCGCAAATGCCACTGCAGGGGCCCACAATCGCGTGATCCCATCTGCATCAGTTGAGCAAACTTGCGGATCTTATCCCGCGCACCCGACTCGCCTTACGTATAACTTCTGCTCAGTGTCTAAAAAGGCCTTCAAAAAAAAATTTAACTTTTCATTTTTCTCCTCCTTTTCCCTTATGCTCTGAGGGAGACGTCAAAAAGGGGGGAAGTCCATTTATTAATTTTATTTCACATCAACTGTGTCATTTTTCACTTTTGTGATCCAGTGTGTACAACGCGTTCACCTCGTTATGTGCCAGCAGGTTGGTCATGCCACTCTCCTTAGAGTCACCAAATTTTCCAATCGAATGTGAAGATGATACCCCGTGTTTCCTAAACGACTCATTCAATTTTTTAATTTTTTCTTTTAATAAATTATTTTCATTGTACAGTTTTTTTATATAATTAGCATTTTTTACCATTTGCTCATTTGCATTATTTTCTTTCTGGTTGGTACTCTCCCTTTTTGATATTTTGCTCTTCAAATTTTCTATCACTTTTAGCTTATCCAAATGATCGTCTTTGTACTTTGAGAGTTGATTCTCCAGCTCAGACACTTCGTTTTTTTTTTCTATTAGCTCATTTTGTAACATCCGTATAGTGTTGTCTCTTTCGCTTATCATATGTTTGCACTCGTCGTTCTGTTTCATCAGATTGTATAGCTTACTGCTCGTGTCTCTCCCTTGTGCTGTGTTTTTCTTTCCTCTTTGCTTTATGCTCACGTTAACAATTTTGCTCAAATTCAAGTAGTACACATTTTTATAGAATTCTTGATCGTGTGTCAACTCGGTGATGAAAAAGGTAAAATAAGTTTTCGTATTTTCAAATATAAGTCTAATGAACAATTCGAAAAGATGCATGTGGAAAATGATGTCCTTTTTTTTATGCTTCCTAAAAGGAGTTATTACCCCTGTGGCTTCTCTTTCTTCCTTGGTGCAACTTTTCTCAGACAGCTCGTCCTCTTTTGGGGTTCCATGCACTGGGGGGGTAGTACTAGTCGCAATAGTAGTAGTAGTACTCCCACGCTGGTGGCACACTTGGGTTGGGCTTTCGCCAATTAGACTTCCTTGCTTATCTTCCGATGGGGTCTCACCCTGTTTTCTTCCAATCGTAATGTCGGCTCTCTTTACACCTCGCACCCATTCTCTATGACTCACAAAATGAACCATTTTCTTCTTCAATTTGAGGGCCCTCTGACACCCCTGCGCGTTATTAAAGGGAAACACAAAACTGGAGTAATCATTAACATCTCTCACCGATTTTAAAATCTTTTTATTGAACAAAAATAGAAGAGACTTCTCATTATTAATGTTGTGGAAAATTTTATCCTTCTGAACATTGCAAAGGGGAAAATTAACTAAGTACACACAACTGTCACCGCCGTCTATTCTAATTATGTATTTAAAAACAAAGCACACATTAGTGATTCCCTTCTTTGACTGAACAAAAAATTTTCTGCACCTCTTTATTATACGTTTAAGGCATATGGCTAATTGTTCCATATTTTTTATGCGCCTTTTTATGGGCAATTCCTTGCAGCATTGGGGATTCCCAAAATTGGGGTTGTCAAAAGATTTTTTTATAAAGCATCTGTGGCAAAAAGGGGGAGTGTTCCTACCCCCTTTCCTTCCACTTGTGCAATTTTTATCCTCACTAAATCTTTTTTTTAGCATATCGATTATTTTACAGTTTTTGTAAGACCATGAAGAAATTGATATTTTCATATCTGTAGGAGGAAAAAAAAATTCATGTATTGTCTTAAAAGGGTGCGTCAAACAGAAGTGGGGAGGGCAAAAATAACCTTCATTTTTGTGAAGCCAATTTGTAAAAGTAAATTCCTTTTTTTTTTTTTTTTTTTTGCAGCTTCACCTTGTTCACTGTTAGTGCTAACAATACAATCGTATATATCCAAAATGAGTCCTTTTTTTTGTTTTAAGCATTCCTCAAAATTGGCGCTTTGAATGTAGTCCTTCCGTCTTCTCTTCCTGTAACAACATGGGTCATGGCAACCTTTGTGCGATTCCTTCTTCTTCTTTACTTCTCCGTCCGATTCTGTTACTTCACATTTTTCGCTATTAACACCACTGGGCGCTTCCTCCTTTTCCAACACATTTCCGCTGTCTACAAATGGTAACCTTTGGAGTTTTTTTTTTTCTCTCTGCTTGGTATAAAGGCATTGTGATGCGCTCCTTTACGTAGTACCATGTGTATACACGCATAAATGGCGACCAGCGCAGTATAGCAACGCTTATACATCTGATTACCCCTTAGGTATCTCCTATACAAGTGTCCATAGAAAAAGACATTTTTCTCCCTCTTCTTCGTGTCTACCCCTTGGAAAAATTAAAGCCGAACAGTGCAAATGAAGAGTCACGTAGAGAGGGGGGATGAAAAAAAGTTACTTATGGTCCCTGCACATATAAAGACATAGCTCTATGAAAAAAAAATAGTCGACTAAAGGAGGAACTTTAAAAAGAGCAGTTGCCTGCATGATAGCAGTCCGCTCTTGAAGGATACTCCAAAAATACATATATATGCTGTACGTGTGACTCACTTTTGTACACCTCCAGTTGGGTACCTATTTATATTTACCAACGTGAACACGTTTTATTCATCATCACAAAATAGTAGCCTTACCTGCATTTATAATCGTCGTGCTCTGGCCATTTTTCACATTACGGAGTATTCTTTTCAGAAGTATTTTATAAGTACCCGAATTTTTAGCACAACAACTTTTTCGACGTACATATTGGTGCGAAACATTTTGAGATGAATTTTCAGCCCTATGTTCATCCGTAACATCGCCACGTTGAACAATAGCTTTATCGAGCTGTCTTCTTTCAAGCTGCTCCCCCTTATTCACCCCTTTGTGTTTATCCTTGGTCTTATTTAGCATGTAACATATGTTCCATTTCTTTTTTACTAAATTCTTTTTCGTTTTACAATTGTGCAAAACGTACTTGACCACTACCCCCCTTTTGAATTTTCTTCTCGTCGGGATCAGTCGCTTTACGACATGTTTCTTAACCTTTGCTTCTTTCTCTGTTTTGCAAATGTATAAAAAAATGTCTATTTTGTGGCCCATGTTTTTTTTTTTTTCCTATACCCTTGGGTGCATTCTTCAAGGTTGTGTTTATTCGGTTAATTGGATCGAAGGGGGAAGAAAATAAAATGTATAGACGCTACAAAAGGAGGGTTCAGAAATGTGATAAAAAAAAAAGGTTCCAAAATTTTACTAAACAGTATAAATTTTGCACATAATTGGGGTGACACTCCATAGTGTTTGCCTAACGCTGTGCCATCTGCCTAATCACGCATGAGGCGAATAAGTGCAATAGGCGCCTTAGGCGTACATATGCATAAAAGCCCATATAAGTATATGCTGTGTTCCCCCTGTGGTGACTAAAGCGTCATATGCCTTCATTGCGGCACCGAACAAGCAAAACTAAAAACGAGAAAGAGCTCACAAACGGGGAAATAAACCAATTTTCTTTCTACAAACAATCACATTCGCATACGCATACGGTTCACTGTGCACGTAATTTTTCCCCTTGCTGGAACTGCCCGAATGTACCTACGGCATTTGCGCCTCTGCACATCCCTTCCGATTCCTCAGCGCACAATTATTTTTCTCCCACTTTTTATATGTCCCAATTTTTCGACCTCCTTTGGACCGACAAGTAGACAAATAAATTATTTACAAATGTTACGTGGATAATGTCATATAATGCTTAATAGAGTTAGTAAAAGGGACAAAAAAAAAAAAAAAAAAAAAAAAAAAAAAGACTCGCGCATTACTCAGCGTAGTTAGAGAGTAATAAATGCCCTTCATTTTATGCCAAAAATTTCACCCATGAATAACCTCTCCTCATCATTATAGTAAGACAAAAAAGCAAACACGTCATTTTTCTTTTTATCAACTATTTCTTTCAAACAAATATTCCTATTATGTAACGAAAAAACAAATTTGTAAAAGGGCTTTGCTTCAAAATTGTTCAACAAAAGTAACCCCCTTTTCTTCAGGCACTCAAAAAAATGCTGGTTTTCAAAATTGTATTTATAAAAAATGTAACACAGAGATGACAACGTCAATGTGTCTTCCACTCTGTTCAAATTTGACAAAATTTTCTGATAAAAAATGTCACATATCCTGCTGTCATTTAATTCTAAATTGTGAAAACAAGTAAGGATGTTGTTCATGTCTCGTATGTTCAGTTCGTACATAACATTTGGTAAATAATTCATCATCTTTTTAAAAAAATCGTTATAGTTATTTTTTTTTAATCTCGCGCTTAAAATGTTTAATATAATCACAAAGGAAATTCCGTTCATCTCTGGAATTTGGCCCTCAATATGTTTCACGCTCGACACGTAAACCCCTACAAGGGAGGAAGCGAAACGAAATTACGTAACATAAAATTAAGTGAAATGAGAACGGACAATGATGCAGCAATTACACACACACGGGAAAAGCCTACTTAGCATCACCAACATGGTAAGTACATACGTATATTCACTTTCTCCGCGCGACGCTCACCTGTGTCCTTGTTGTACAAATGAAAGGACTGAAGAATTAGAGAAAAATCGTTAGGGCGAAGCAGGTGCAGACTTTTTTTAACCCGCATGCTGTATATCTGCCAAAAGGACAATGTCTTCACCATTTTGGGGTTCCTACCCTTCGAAGGGGCATCTTGTACAACATCAGAATTGCTGTACATTAAGTGCTTATTATCCGCAGCACTGTCAGGGCCCACATGCACATCATCCTCTAACTCTCTCGCCTTCTTCTCCTCGTTACTTATATATCCTTTTATTTTCAAATTTACATACCCCTCGTTACTGTTATCACCTGATGAGGAGATGCCTTTTATAAGTTCCACTGCTGTGTCCCTTAACTTGTTAACGTCCCCAAAGAGTAAAACATTTTCATACTTATGATTTATTTTTTTTAAAACAAAATATTTATCCTTAAAGGCGCTGTCACTACTTCCGCTGTAAATTGGCATACACAGCCGTCTTCCGACTCCTCCACCCAATCGCTGCCCACTAAACCGGATCATGCTTCTACAGTCCAAGGGGGCGATATATGGGTGACTCTCAAAAAAGGGTAAATACACATGGGTGGTGAAACACTTGGCGAACAGGTGATGGTCTATTCAAGCCGCATACTTACACAATTGATATTTTAATCACCCCCCATTTTGCTTTAACACCTACATGCTTGTCCTTGTAGAGGTGCTAAGTGACTGCTTCAGATGTGTACACGTAATGTAAACACCCGTTTTGCCTAATGGCTCATATAATTTTTGAGGGTCTGTTTCTCCCACAAAAGAGGGGAAACACATTTACGATAGCATAAACGCGCAGATCTTCTTCCCCACGGCAGTTTTCCCAGTTCACCAATTCGCAGCGAAAGGGAAAATATATATTCCTTACATAAAGGTACATAAACCAAGTGTGGCGAAACACTTGAAGCGTCAAAACAGGAGGCAAAAGGAGGTGAGTATTTAAGGGTAACTAAAAGGGATGAGCTATAATTGCACATGTGCGAATGTACGTACCAACCGTGCATTTTTTTAATCAAGCGACACTGCTAAATTGTTGCACTCACAAAAAAGCAGCACCAAAAATTATGTACCCGAAAGAACAAATTAAAAGAAGGAAGAGATCTAACATGTGCGACGTGAGCCAATGAAATGATGAAGGACTAAACAGGTGGACCAAACGGCGGGGCAACAGATATATAAAACAAATACTGAATGGAACCCCACATGTCACACCCCAGGGGGAGAAGTAAACCGCAAGAATGAAGGAACGCCTTGCCTTCTCCAATTAGGCCAAAAGTAAAACGGAAAAGTTGCAGAAAAAGAAGAAAGCAAAGGAAAAATGTTACTACGCTGCTAATTGCTAATGCTCACGCAAACGGCACAAAAGCATAAAATGACTAATAAAAGAACCCAAAAGCAGTGGCCCCCCAAAAAAACAAACTATCACATAAATATAACCTAACTAAACGTCCTACCCGGCCTTACACATGAACGAATTTTCCCCACCCATGTAGCGCAAAAAAAAAAAAAAAAAAAGGAAACAGAAAAGCACATTGATGTGGTAGCAAAATGGAAAATACACCAAACTGTAACCCCTATTCCATTTTAAACGTAGAACCAAATTGCAACATAGACACTGCCAAGAGGCAATTCAAAAAGTTGGCTATAATTTACCACCCGGATAAGCTGAAGTATCACATAAATAGGGAAAGCAAGGGGGTGGTCGAGGGGAATGCAGAAAATAGGACTGATGCAAACATTGCTGTAGGAATTACCCCAAAAAGGGAACAAAGCGAAGGGAATAAAAGAGCGGACAAAAATATTGCCAAAAAAGACAATGTCGACTTCGTGACCCTGGTTTGGGCATATGAACAAATTTTAAGAGACATCCAAAATGGGAGCAAATCCGAAAAGTACGAAAACGCCCTGAGCATCAAAAAGGTGGACCTACAATATATTAACGAGGAGAAGGCGTACATTTATTTTTGCCGGTGTGGGGACTTTTTTCTCTTTTCGGAAAATTTATATTGTGAATATTACGTCATCTATGCATGCCAGAGTTGTTCCTGCTCAGTTTATCTAACTCCCTAATCAGTTCACACATACTAGAGGGCACCATGTTTCATCTGAATAATATGAACACACTTAAATGGTGAAATGAAATGGCGTCATCCAAAATGCGCAACATGGGAGGAAGAATGCCCCTACTGTTATCATAATTTGGGATCCCCTCCCGTTTGATGTATATCCAAGAAGGAAATTATTTTATTTAACCCTTCATCCTTTTTTTGTAGATTAGCCTTTGCTACTCCGCACTGTTTACATGGCCAAAGCTGAATATAGCCAAAGCGGGGACCAACGTATGCGCCCCCTTTTTTTAATCTTTTAACGATTTATGCTCGCTTATTACACCTAATGGTAGCTCGTTTGACATGGTGGGGACATATTTATTTTTAATTTCATCCTATCCCTAGCCATGCCATGTCGTCCATTTTTTTTTTTTTTTTTTGTCCATTTTTGAGCATACATCGGTAATTACGATGATTCGTTACACATTTGCAATTTTTAACCTTTTTTTAAAAGTCTAATTTAAAAAAAAAAAAAAAAAAAAAAAAAAAAAAGACAAATATTCACATGTAATTTTTAATTAATAATTCTAGTCGACGCTTAAATTCTGTGCAATTTCTGTGGAAGCCTTCGTTACAATAGTGTGGGCTTCGTACCTGCGCCAAAAAGAGAGAAAGGGGTAAAAAAAAATGGGCATAAGACGGACATTATATACAAAACACATATGCGAGGAATTCGACTTAATTTGAAATAATTCCGCCCTTGCTCTTTTAACGTTGTCGCGTAATGCCCGTAGCGGCATGCACATATATATATACCCATGACAAAAAACTGCACTTACATTCGGTCCATGCATTTGGCTAAACAGATTTGCTCATTCTTCCCCATTTGCTCAGAAAATTTCTGACCGAAGCATTTCTCGAAACATGTTTTTCGCACTTGCTAAAAGGCGTTAAAAAAAAAAAAAGGGGCGCATTAAAAAAATATATATTTTCTTCGTGACAATACACATGGAAAAGAATAAAAGACAAACTTGGCATATTATACACGCTTCTCCAAATTGGATGAGCAACAAACAAAAAATGCAATCTAATGTGTGTGTGGGCAAATAAAGAATTACATTGTTCAGTATCTGATATATCATCATCCCCAGGGCGTTTTGCGCATCTTCCATGCTCCGCTGGCTGTCCATTTTTCGTCCTAGTTTTGGCTTTAAAAATGCTTGATATGGAGAGGAAATAAAAAACAAAAAATACTTTTCTTAAGGCGAAAAAATATGCCCTAAATAAAGAAGCTTTAAAGAGGGTTAAAAAATATATTCTTTAAAGTAGCGTTTTTCTTCATTATGCTTTCGAGGTGGCATGCTTCGGGAAACATTTCAAATGGTAAATGTTTTTTCTGCAAAAATGTGAAGCTTAAGAGGGCCGTGTAATCTTTCTCCCCAGGGCAGGTAACAAATAAGCTTCTCCAGTAGAACTAAATTTAATCTTCAAAGAAGGCAAACATGTTTTCGCATAAAAGGAGGAACAAACTGGAACATCAAAATACTACTTGCAGAAAAAGCCAAATCGTACAAACTGGGTTATACGGCTATGTACCAACCGGGCCAAGGTACATTACACATAGGTATGTTCGCCAATAAAGTGTTCGATTTGTTCGGCTATTTACCTCGTATGATGTAAACAAAAAAAAAAATTAATAAAAAGGCAATCACATGAAAATAAACAAAACGGCAACTACAAATATTACAGCAAAAAGAGGCTCATAAAAAAAAAAAGAAAAAGTGTCACCAACAGGGGCATAAATAATATAAATAAGAACACCTCATTAAGGAGACGAAAACTAAAAAAAGAAAATGGTAAGGCGCATAAATGTGGCACAGACATATCACACGTTAGCGACGAGTAATATTGCAAATGGCAATCTGAATAGAGCTTAAGAGGTAAAATAAAAAAAGAATAAACGAAAAGGTGTATTCCAGAATTGTGACATTCATGTTTATTTATGCTCGTTTGTTTTCATTTTGTTTTTTTTCCCTGTGTAAGGTTTAATCTTTGTGCAGTTTTTTACTATTTTTTTTTTTTTTTTATCCTCCTTTGTTATTTCCCCATTGGTGCTAAGTGTTATGTTCAGAGGCCAAACTGTGAATATTTTTACCGCAAATGGGTAAGCAAAATACTCATAGTTTGGGACATTTGGCCATTTCTGGCGCGTTCACACGTGGATACTTAGCATATTTGAAGAGACACCAACATGTAAATGTATCATAAACTTTTATGTGTTCATTTATTTACATTTTTCCGCCCATATTGCAAAATGACGTCGATGTTTCAAATTTGCAAGATTGTTGTGTAACCACATTTTTTTTTTTTTTTTTTTTTTTGTGTGTGTGTTGGTGTCATTTAATTTCCTCATCCCCCGAATTACATGTCACAAGAAATATCGTGAATTTATTAAAAAAGTAAATAATGCAAAGTAAATGTAAAAATAAAATATACAGCTTAGCAAGAAATGTGTATATATTTCTTTATGTAATGATTCACTTGAATTCTCTTCACCTCTTGGGCGTTTCGACAGTTGTAAGTTTGTCCATGTGGCCACACATGTATATACGTACACGCATTATGTATATATGTGCTTCCTCCTAGAGAGCGATCTATGAGCGCGACGATTGGAAGGCCGGTCTAGAATAACCCAATGTAGCGCAAATAAAGCCCAGATATAACGAAACCCATTTAACCCCCTTTCTCTTTTTTTGTAGATCCACAAAAAAGATGAAAACAGAATAAACATTCAAAAGTCTTTTTACAGTATGAAAGGAAAAGAGAGAAAGTGAATTGTAGCAGAAAAAAAAAAAAAAAATACCAAGTGTAAACACAAATGGCTTATCCATATATCCACTTTTTTTTTTCTTTTCACCTCCACCTTCAACAGTCAAGCCGATATTGAAAAGAAGTGGTATATTTAAAAGCAGCACATTGAATAAAAAGTTACATGGGACAAACTTTTGCCTGTTCACGAAAAAAAGACATAAGGAAGCGTTAGCCGTAAGTAAAAATTCCTCCCCTTGTATAACGTTACACATTGTGGGGGCATGTGTCGCAATGTAGATTATTCTTCCAAGTGGTGAATTTACCAACTAGTGCATTTTTTTTTATCTCATGGACATGATGTGAGCTGTTTGCAAATAAGTTTATCCCTTCTTCTTGTGCCCACTTCTATACAGCTCCGAAAATACCGAATGACTGGACCCTCGACAGCTAGGAGGCACCACGGATTAGATGGCAGAAAGAGAATAAACAAGGTCACCATGCTGCCACACAAAGAAATAAAGCTCCCCGTAAGGAGGTAACGAAAGCACAAATTATAACAAAAAAAAAAAATTCGCAAAAACGCTCACTTTAAATAACTTCAATATAAAGTGATTCAAAGACTCATTCGAGTTTTTCCCCCATTTTTTTTTCCCCTTTTCCTGCCTCCTAAATTGCCCTTTTTCAAACACAAAGATGCATGATATTAGGAAAAATGGACAACTGGAATGCGCGTAAAATATCCAAGTCAGGTATCAAAACGCACAGAAAGCAGAGAGTAAATTTACTAAGGAAGAGAATTTACTTCGAAGAAGAAGATCGATTTGTAAAACTAAGAGTCAGTGCAAGAGGATTGAAGACTATAAAAAAATATGGCTTGGGTTACTGCTGTAAAAAATTTAACTTAGACTTAAGCAAGAAGAAATATGATGCTGGTCGTTCCCCCAGACGCAAGAAAAAAAAAACTGACGAATTCACATCCGCACAAAATGACTCTTTAAATCAGAGAGCACCCCAGGTGCATGAAGATGCGAATGAAATTTTGAAAAATCTCAATCTAGATAAAAAGAGTACGTAACAAATTGTAACCACAAATTTTGTTCCCTAGATCGAATCCGTAGAAATAGGTATTCCGTAAGAGCCAACGGAAAGTTAATGGCCCCCTTTTTCAGAACAAAAAAATAACAACAAATAGGCGCAGAGAGGGAAAGGAATTTTGTAAACAGAAGGGAATACCTAATCGAGCCTCATTTGATGAATCAGTTTAAGCGTCAATCACAAAAATGTGCCTACCAAAATGGACAATAATTGAATTCAAAATTGCGGCTTTTTGGGGTAAGCATGAAAATGGTTTATACGAGCGAATTAATATAATTTGAATGCGGGGGATGCACACATGGGTACTTAACTCATATGTGCGTTTTACTGGGAAGGGCAAAAAGACACTGATACATTTGCACTACCCACTGAAAAAAGAAGAAAAAAAAAAAACAAAAAGTGCTGTGGCCACAATTATATTAACAAGCAACATTAAAAAGGGGAAGACAAACAGATATCACGACCCACTTGCAGTCATTTTTACTGAAATCAAGAAATCCTATTTGGTATCAAAAAAACAAAAATTATTAACTGGAGTGTGTGTACCAATCGGCATGTACATACATATGTACACTACAGTACACATATTTCCTTGTGTATGTGTGGCCAAGATCAAACGCCCTACCCCCTACACCTCTAGGTCACCCTCTGCCCGAGCTGGCCTGGTCTATACCACTGGTCCTCAGTCTTCCTTAAAGCGCTACACAAATAAACCTTTACAGGTACCTGCAAGATTTCCCGAACTTGCTTTATCATATTTTTCACGTGCATCTTCTCATCTAAACTCATATTATTTTTTGTCAGTGCAAATAATGATGAGCCACTTCCACTCATCGTTACAGCATCGAAAATGTTTTGATTAAGCAAAAAGTCCTTCAAACATTTCAACTTTTTAAGTAAAAAAAACGCAGGAAGTTCCAAGTCGTTTATAAAACTATTCATTGGAGTTGTCCCGTCCAGTGGCACGAACCGACTCAAATAACTGCGCTCCGCTTCTTCCACGTGCTTGACCATATTATACCTGTCCGCGTTTACTAGGAACTGTTTCAACAAACTCACAGGGTTATACTGCACTATCTGGTTATAATCAACATTTTCATAGACCAGCCTAGAGGACAGTCCTTCGTTGATTTGAAAAATATATATTCTGCGCCCCGAAATTGTTGCCTCGGCATCACTTAAATCGATGACATCATTGCCCTTGCCAGTACAGTAGGCAAAACCGGAGCTGCTGAAAAAGGATATGTCGCTGCCTATTCTTTTTAAAAATTCGTTCCCTAACTGATTTGTTTTTAAATATTTGTAGTAATATTTTTCCAAGAAATAAAAAAGGGTAGCTCCATTAGACGACCCTCCACCTATTCCACTAAAAATGGGAATGCGCTTCACCACATGAATTAAAAATTTCACATCGTCCCGTATATTTAGTTCTTCCCTGTATCGTCTCAACACCTTTGCAATTATGTTATCGTCATTTAGTGGATAATGCTTGTAAGAATACCTAGTGTCTTCGTCTCTCCGTCCTGAGTTCATGTCCTCATTTTCTTGCTCCTGCTCGTACTCTTCATCCTTCTTTATGGTTAAGAAATCGCCAGACTGGCATGGAAATAGCAGCTCTGTTAACTTCCTTTGGTCTTCCTTACTCAAAGCAGTTATAAAAATATCATCGCCTAAATTTATCGAATGCATCAAAGTTGATAATTCATTATGGGTCTCCTTTCTTTCTTTTAGTCTTAAAAATAAATTAACTTTTGCTGGGGAAAAAAATTTGAAGTCGTACCACTTGCTTCGGTTCAGTTGGCGAATTATTAATTTCATTTTTTTATTGCTCACAACATTTCCCCTTTGGAATACATCTTCATTATATTGGACACTACTTCTACCAGATTGGACGTTCGTTATCTGCCTTTTCTTACTGCACTTCCCACGCTTGCACAATTTGGCAGACGTCCATAACCTCCTTAAAGCATATTTATCACTATCGACATTGTTACATGGAGTGGAAAGAAAGAAATGCAAACATGCTCCTTTCAACTTGTGATACCTTTTTCTCACACATTGGCTTTGATCAGTGGAAACATTTTTGGAGTCTACAATTGTATGAAGCAAATACACACATACAAGTAGTAGGACCCCCTTCACATTGAAACAAAGTTTCATATTTCAGTACGTTCCAGAGGTAGAGTACTCTCCATGCAAGGCGCGTTACTTCCCTCTTCTTTGCCAATGCAAAAAAGAAAAACTTATTAAGCTCCTATACGTTCGAACACACTCGTAGGAATTTTTTTGTCACTATGCCTTACTGGCATTGGGGGTCCCCTTCCTACGCTCATCATGATGTGCTCACATGTGCAAGCATATAGAGCCTGTACATTCATATGTTTATTTATTTATATATTTTTTTTTTTTCGAAAATATTTCAAAAATGGTCTCGTTAACACCTTTTAATTTTTCAATTTTTCGATGTCACTTCGCTGACATCGGCAAGGGGGGCTACCTTTATCGATTCAATATTGCACATAGGTATTCTTTTGTAAGCGCCATACAGAGATATTTTTTTTTTTTTTACTCACATATGTGTACGATCATAACCTAGTGAACACCTGTGGAAATGCCTAAGGAACATGGCTGATAACGATTATTAGCTTTTCCTGTGATGAACAACGCCAATTCTATGTTGAATTTTGGAATGTCATATACGCGTGTGCTAAGTGTAACAGTTTTTATCGTTAAGCGGTGACTTTTTCACTTTAAAGGTGGAACTGTCATCACTTTTGGGGGAGTAACTTTTTTAATTTTTCCTAGAATTGGGATCATACGAACGTCTAAATAGCTTCCAATTTTTCCCCTTTAGAATCGAAAATGACTTAAATAATGCCACCTTACAGGATACATCAAAATGAGAACAAAAGGGGGCAGCTCATTCTGTTACACGTATGGAATTTTCTATTGCATTTTTTCGTGAAATGGCTACATTTTAGCATGCCCCTATTGCTTTTCCATTGTGAAGCATCAAATATGCTTGGTCCTTTGGGCATAAATGCTGTTGCGCCATTTTTGTGGGGGAGTACCTACACATGGTGTGTACACCCAGGCAGGGCAAACTACGGGAGCTCTAGTCTACATTAGTTCGAAAGCGCTTCAAATATACACCCTGCGCGTGCGTGTGTGCGTCCTTTTATGCTCTCGTGTGTATTATAATGTGTATTCTCGTTTGCACACTCGTTTGTCCCCTTTTTTTTTTTAAATAATTTGTGTGCTTTTAAGAAAAAAAAACGTTTGTGTCTTTTTCCCGCATTCGTAAAGGTATGCAAAACGGTACACTATTTTTTTTTTTTTTTTTTTGTTTTTTTCATCACGGGGTTTTAACTTAAGCGCGCGTGAAAAACTTTTGTCCATGTGAAAATCGCTTCTTAATTATATGCTTGACCTCTTGCAAAATAAAAAAAAATTACAATTTAATGTTTGCATCCCCGCAAATATGGGCATGCGTGGCGTACCTTTCATTGTCAATTTTACCTGGCTTCTGTTTTTCAACACTCTGGCTTTCTTCTAAACAACCATACAAATACAAAGCAAACTCAAGCGCACTGCATGTATTTAAACATACATTTTGCGTCTGTCAATTTACATCCACACGTGTATCTCCCCACTGCCACGAAATGGGCACAGGGGGTAACACACTGGCACTGTTGTTCCCTTTTCGCAAGTGACACATATGTTATGCCACTGAAAGGGAAAATAAAACAAAGTCCGCCATCCCTCGATACTCTAAATGGCACTTACAACTTGGGTGTACCTTAGTAGCATCACAAGTCAACAATGTTAAAAAAAGTGTTCCACGTTTTGAGAGAGTTCGACGGTTTAAAATGAAAGAGTTTGCAATTTGAACATGTTTGACCTTCGAATATATTTGCTGTTTGAAATTGTTTCACATTTCCCCCCTCTTTTTAAACCGCCCCAGTGTGACCCTGCTACCATTTGAAATGCATCATCACCCCAGACAGTTGCATGATGAACAACGCAGGGTCTCACAACCACATGCGCATTAAACTGCCATGCTGACATTTTGAATTCCTCCCCAATTATGAACAATTTTGGGAAGGTGTGAAATATGACTGAGTGCCTTTTTTTTTTTCCCCCCCTTGAGGAGGCACTCATACAAACCGCTACACATATGTACGTATGCGTGTATATATGTGGCCTTATTAACTCTGTACATCTTTTTTTTTCTTTCTTTTATAGCTCCCCTTTTTGAGTCTATTAACATGTTTATATGTTACCCACACGTACAATTCATTCTTTCCAGTTTTAATTAACCAATCCATTCGTTTTTACCACCCTGCGCACATCTGTATACACCTATTCTGTTCCGTACAAACACAAAATGAAAGCCCCCAATTATACTTCCCCAAATTTGAGCAACATAAAGGAGGAGGAAAAGATAAGCAGAGACAAGAACGGCGCCAAATTGAACGATGCAAAAAAAAAGGAACAAAAAATGATTAACACCGTGGTGCAAATGGGAAAAGAGGACACAAACACAAAACACACAAAAATAAAAAAGATAAACATAGATGCAATAACAAAAGGTAAAGGGAACTCCATAGACAATACCAAAATAGAAGAAAATATAAAAAATATTGAAAAATCCATAAATAAATTAGAAGAAATAGAAAAAAAAATCATCCATGATATTAACGAATGTAACAAGTACATCGAATTTTATGAAAAAGCAAAGACCCTTTTAGACTCCACAGATTTTGATAGTGATGTAGGGAGGGAAACAGAAATTGAAGAAATTAAAAAAATACTTAAAAGGTGTTCACAAAATGTAGACGGAGAAGGTATATTTCTAACGGGCCCTAGCGGCCAGGGAAAAACATACAGCATATTTTACATCATTAAAGAGATAGAAAAAGAGAAGGAGAAGGAAAAGGACCAGAATGTGGAGGACAAAAAGAAGAAGATGAAGAAGAATGAAAATACACCCATACAAAATTATAAAAATATCGACGCCTCCTATTTTTATGTTTCTTGTTCGAATAGCCAAAAACCATATGATATCTTTGTAGACATCCTACAACAGATAATAAAAAAGGACAAAAAGTCCATTCTCAGTGACGTCAAGCAACAGTACCATATAAATGGCCTGGAGGAAGTGAAGAAGGTGTTCATTAATTATACAAGCAAATTAAACAATTTAAAAATCGTCATTGTGGACGAATTAGATTTTATTGCAACGAAAAATGTACGAGTTGAATTAAAGACAAAAAATGTCAACAGAAACTTCAATGAAGACGTAGTCAAAAATCTATTCGAGTGCGTACAAATTGCAAACAGTAAAATAATTCTCATCGGAATTGCCAACAGCTTGGATCTGATAAAAGACTACAAGCACATGAAAATTAACCAAATTATTTACAAACCATACAATGAAAAGCAGTTTATGAACATAGTTCGAAATAAGTTAAACACTTTGGAGGATGAATTTGTCACCAAAATTTTCAAAGGGGTGTCCCTAAATATACACGTTCGGCAAATATCTAACCGAAACGGGGACATCAGATCGTGCTTCGATGCCATCTTGAGAGTTTTTTCAGATAAAAAATCCGACCTAGATGAGAGAAAAAAAAATCTAACCAAATTGAAAGAAGAAGTTATGATGAATAAAATATTCAGTATGCAGGAAAGGAGAAACCTCTTTCTGCTTCTAGAAGATCAGGAAGAGGATGACTCGACGGACGCCTTGAACGGGGAAGAAAGCGAATACACCGAAAGTGAACAACCCGACGTAGAGACACACAAAAGAGGCAAACGAAAGGCGATAAAAGGAAAGGAACACCAGGAAAACGGAACATACTGCCACACCAGCCATACACACAAAATAATTAAAAAGCAAAAAGTACAATCAAAAAATACCTCCAATTTCAATTATCAATCCGGTTCCCACCACTCAGAGGACAACTTTTTCCTGGAGCACAATGTAACCCCTCTGCCAAACCTTCGCCACTTTGAACTAGCCAACAAATTCAACGATAAATCAAAAAATCTAAAATTCACAGATCAGAAAAATGAATTTTCCATCGGATATGAAACGCTCAAAAAGGAAGTCATCAAAATACAAAACAACAACGAAACGTTAAGTGAAATTTTGATAACAAAAAACTTCAACGCAAATGATAATGCCTCCTTTTACAACTTCAGTCAGTGTACACCTGAACGATGCTATGAAAGCCCCTTTAAGGTGCTATATAAAAATGACATAGATAGCGAAATCCCACATTTTAAAGATAAAAAGGAAGTACTACAAAATATAGACGTGGACAAATTACAATCGTTTGATGTGATTGTTGATAATCAAATAAAAAGCATCGAAAAAAAGTACCACGATTTTGTTGACACAGCAAAGGATAACACTGTAATGATTTCAGACATAAAAAAAATTACGGACAAAATACCATTAGAGGAACATAAGGATATACTTTTTAAAATTAAGAGTCTACCTTTAATTCAAAAATTTTACCTCTACGCTTCATGCAATGTTGTGAATGATACACATTTAAATTCAGACGATGAGGAAGAAGACTGTGAAGGGAAAAAGAAGCAGAATCCAAACCAGTTCATCGAAATTACCTATGCTGATATACAACGAGGCTTTAGAAGCCTCTGCAGTAACCTGTCGGAGACCTCCTACATAAGGGACATTCTTGAGGGAAACACTATTGACCAGGCCATCGAACATTTTGAAGAACTTGGCATTCTAACTAATTGTAAAAAGAACCAAAAAATTAAAGAAAGAAAAAGTGTCGTAAAAGTCCCTAAAGGGTTAACTCCCAGATTTGCAAACATGAAAAACAACAAAAATTTTTCGTCGCATAATAAGATGAACACTGTCTACTACTTCAACCTCCCCGTGTGTGTAATTAAGCAGACGCTAAAGGAAATTTCTTCCATACTGTCGAGCTGTGACCGGAATTCCCAGTTCTGACAATTGCAAGCAATTGTGGTGCGCGCGTACGAAGAGGCCGCAGCGGAGTGCTTTCCCCTAAGAAGTACATAGCGTAACAGCAAAGGTAGTTTTCTCCCTTTTTTGACCACGCAGATTAAACAGATTAAACACTACATGTGTACATGACCAAATGGGCACTTCACTTGTTCGCAATTTTTGGTTAATGCACCCAAGCGGAACTTCCACGCTGTACCTGTCTATGGGTCACGCCAGCTGGGTTGCGCTGCAAGAGGGACAATCTTCTCTCGCGAAATGGAACCAGCACACACAGACAAACCTGTACATGTGCAAAGGCGAAGTTTATGGATTCCCTCCTCAGCTATAACTTCCATCCGTCGATAGTATATCTTATGCAAAAAAGAAGATTTAATTTTATTGGTTCCCTTTTTTTTTATTTTTTTTTTCTGTTACTTTGACGAACTACATGGCATGATTATTTTTTTCGTTTTTTAATTTTTTTATTATCACTTTGCTAAATATGGTAAAGTACACATCACAGATGATGAATGTTTATTTTTTTCATCAACGGGTGGACGAAGCAATTTAGAGAGTAAATCCGAAATAATTGCACACAGTTTGAACTATATATACACATTGTGTGTTGTTTCCATTTTTTTTACATTTTCCGTGCACCCTTAAATTATATTTTGAAATCTATTCAATCGATTGACATTTTGCTCAATTGATTGCATGAAAAGGAAAAATCATCATTACAACTTTTTTTGTTTTTACGAAGCATTTATTTGTTTATTTATGTATTTTTTATTTTTTTTTTTTTTGGTTACGAACGTGATTTTTACATTTATGAATGTCCAAGTGTGAAATTAATCCGAATAAAATTTTGCACATTTTATGGAATGTTAAACGTCACCATGTTTAAAAGAAAAATTAATTTTATCAAATTAAAATCCTCAATGAATGCACTGTTTGGTGCGCTACGAATGTATGAATAATGTATATACATGTGTGTATTTTTCCTTTTCCTTTTTTTTTTTTTTTTTTATTTGTTAGACTTTTTCTGTGTTCATTTATAAAGCATTTCTGCATTTGGGTGAACATAATCGCGTTTGTTGCAAATACTTGACAGCAATTTTTCTTCTTTTCCTTTTACACCTCTTCTTTTTTTTTTTTTTATACACTTTTTTCTTCCTTTCACAGCTTTTTTTTTTATATTGGAAAAAAATCTCCAACCTGGCCGCACACACACATATATGTACGTATAGCATAATGAGGCAAATTTTCGGCAACATCCCGTTTTATTATATATTTTTTATAAATTTATCCCTTTTCCAACATCATGTAATAACAAACGGCGAAATTACTAATATTCAGAATGGTTATTTAAGAAATGGATGGGGAGGGCAGGGGAAGTTGACCACACATAACAATGATAATAATGATGATGGCGATAATCATGGCAATGATGGTAATGGTGATGGGGCAAATGGACAAACGGAAGGAACAAATGTAGAAGAAGGAACACCCGTACCGACGGCAGCATCACCAGTAGGAGCAACAGTACAGGTAGTAGAGGAAAGTGGAATTATTCAAGGTACACCGAGTGTAGGTCATACAACAGGTGCCCCCGACGCTCCCGGGAATAAGGGCGAAGAAGAAAGCACAGGGACCAAAGGGGAGCCCGATTTCTGGGGACAGTGGGACCCGGATCCTCAATCCTGGAATCCGTGGAGCAGTGAAACTGGATCCGGAGGTAACGGACAGCATGCTGGTAGGTATATGTGCCGTGATGAGAATATGATACAGGAAAGAACAAAAAAGTACAGGCAATACCTAATACTAGACAACAAGGTGCATCATAACATATACCACAATTGAAATAGGTGCAAGAGGGAAAAAAAAAAAAAAATTCCTTGAGAGAATTAGGGGGGAGGGGTAGACACACACTCTGTGTATGTGTTGTGCGCGCGAGAGAGAGAATCTTTTCCCGGGTGGCAAGTTCCCCTTCTTCCCCCGTTCGTCTGCTACCACGCCGTCCTCCTGCCATCCGACGCCTGGCTCCATGCCCGTGGCACCAATGGTGCCGATCGTGTGGTCAATCACCCTGAACTAAATTCCTGTTTATTATTCCGTTCCTTTCTGTTTATAGGTAAAGGTGATTCAAAGGTTACACAAAGTACGCACCAGGACGGATCAGGGGTGAAACCGGGGCAGGACCAAGTGCCAGCTTCATCTGCAGTACAACCAGAGGCAGAACCAGCCGAATCAGAGACCACACCCACATCTCCTGAAGCCACGACACAATCAACACGAACACGAGGGGAGGGTAACACCAGTGCCACGAACGCTGACGAATCCAGGGACGCCGTCGTCGATGGCGTCATCGATGGCGGCAACGATGACCCCCCTCCTCTCAATCCACCCAAACCAAAACCGAACCCGAACCCAAATCAATCGGGTAGTAGTGGCAGTTTCAGTGATGCCGATTTGGCGGATGGAGTGTCTGGTGGGGAAGGCAAGGGAGGTGCCGAAGTTGGTGGTGGTGGCGAACGAGGAGGTTCCTCTGGACCCGGATCTACTGGTCAACAAAACCCTGGTTCCTCCGGTATCGGCTCTACTAACCCGGGGGCACCTGCCACTCGTTTAACCATAAAGGATGAGTGGGACACAGAATTGGATAAAATCCCTTTATGGGGAATAGGATCCGTAACAACACCCTCCGCTACCACAAACGACGTGTCGAAATCATCCGTTAAAACACCCTCCGAACCGACGACGACGCAGCAAAGTACATTAGAACCGTTGGACATGTCTAAAGAGCCATCTGACAATTTTATCGATAAAAATGAAGAGGTGGTACAGGAAGTCGAATATCTGGAAAGTGAAGAAAACGATCCTGAAGAAGAAGACTCAACACCATCAGACGTTGCAGAAGGACATGAAGGAGAGTTGGAACAACAGTTGGACGAAGATGAAGAGGAGGAAGAGGAGGAGGAAGAAGAAGAAGAAATTGAAGAACAGCAAGAACAGCAAGAACAGCAAGAACAACAAGAACAAGAAAAAAAGGAAGAAGAGGAACCAAAAAATGAAGAGGAAACAGAACAGCCACAGGCACAGCAAGGTGATGAGAGCTCAAAAGAAAGTGGCACACCCGAAACACAAAAAAGCGAAGAAGTGTTAGATGACAAAGGGGCTCATAAATTACTTGGAGGGGAGCATAACACTGCTAACAAAACCAATAAAGTAGAAAAGGCCTTCCTCAAAAAGGTGATTGATGAGATCCAAGATGATACTATGCACGACTTAAAGCAAGACGTGGGTCATTATTTTAAAGGTAAACAATCATCGTGAAGGGGAAAAGTTACCTATCGTGAGTGATACATTGTAAATACCTCAGTGCTACAATCAGGTTGTGACAGATGATGATATTTCCAATGGATTACATAAAATTTATATATGTAACTAACATGTTTAACAGCAAGACAATTATTACTATTTGAAGAGTATACCATTTTTTTTTTTTTTTTTTATCTTAAACTATACACCGATTTGAAGATAATTTGTGTTACCCTTTTAAGCCTCATCGAGAATTTATTTAAATTCTGTATCTTCTGAATGGTGACACATTTAGTGTGCAATGTTATGTAAGAATTTGGTTACCTGTTGGGAGAATACGCTGAAGAGGTCAGCTGTTTACAGGGTTACACACCCTTAGCAATGATTGAGGCATGTTATTATGCATTGGTTTCTTTGCTCTTAATTTTACATGAGTTTATTTTGAAAGGGAGAACTTTTGCAGTCTTCTATTTTCCGCGCCGTGATTGGTGAACATTTGGTCTCCCTTTTTTTTTTTTTTTTTTTTTTTTTTGTTATGCCAGCAGTTGCAATAAAATGTATACACAGCGCAGGGTGATAACTAACACTCTTTAATTTGAACTCATAACAAATGAACAACACAGTTATTTTGTGGAAGCTTTGCAAGCTACGTTGCATCACATCAGCATTATTATTTGCAAAGTATAACTTCAATTTTGTAGCTTTATGAAGGAAAAACATTTTCCACAATTGAATGGTCCAGTTGATTGGCTACTACATTTCCAAACTGTGTTAAACGCTTTGGTGAGATAATAAAAGGTGTGCTAATTTCCCCTCTAAAAAGAGCAGCTCGTATTATTGAGCGCTTTCCACTACAAACGTTTATCTTCCCCCATGTGCATTCCAAAGTTGGTAAATGCGAACAGGTCCAAAAAGAGAGCACCATTTTGTGGAGCAAATATGTGTAGAGAAAAAGTCAACACATTGTACTTCCCCATATGAGTGAGTACAAATTATATCGCATTAAATATGTTCTTCCTCCTCTATAGATATTTTATACGCCTGTTCCTTGGCCCTTCTGGCCCCTTTCCAGAGGTATACTAATTTTTAAACATAATCGGGTAAAACAGGAGAACGTTTTATGTATTTTGTCAGAGCCATATTGACCAATTTGCCATTACACCAGTGATTTAAATTGGGGAGAATAATTTTTGCACTTTTCTTTTTTTACACTCCGTACACTATAACATGGGACAACTGTTTTTTTCGGAATTGTCCAAAATGAAGAGGCACTTTCGTGGCACACCCTTTTTCATTTTGTACATTCCACTGTAAAATGGCACCTGTGTTTAATGGAAAAAAAAATTAGCGGAACAGAATTCCGCTTCAGTTAAACAGTGCATGCTCCTTTTTTTTCGTTTTGCCCGCGTTATTCTCCAATGACGTAAAATGAACTGTGCGCTATAAACACAATAAATGACTTACACTTTGTGCAAAATTAAAAATGGCAAAAAAAAACAAAAAATTTAATCACGCATAAAAGGACAGTAATTTCACAGGCGACTCGTATTTTTTGTTCTTCTTAAAAGATGAATATGCATTATTTTTTAGCAGATTAGTTCTGCGCAGTTATCTTTCACCCCTTTTTGCACCTATGTACAGTTTTGACATGAGTACATTTTGCTAACTGAAAGGTAGTGTATCATATTAATTATTTTTTTTTTTGTTGTTTTCCCCTTCATTTTAGCTTTTTAATTTGAAATATACTTAAGCCATCTCGAAAACAAAAAAAAAAAAAAATGTAAAAGGAGCATACGGTTTAAATTGTTTTTAAAACTACATAATTATTTTACACCCCTTTTGATCATCTTTGAAATGTTACAATGTCTCCTGCGCAAAAAATGAAGTACAATTTGAAAATTACCCTTTACATCATTTTTGTATTTTGGTATGTGCACGTCGAAGATCATCAGAAGTGTGCGACTGTAAATGCTAAAACTCCCAACTTAAGAAAAGGATGGTCAATAACAAATGGAACCTTACACAATGGGGGAAATAATATGAATGGAAAATATACTGATTATCTGAATGACACAATTCAAGGGAATTCCGAAATAGGTGCAACAGAGGAAGAATTATCCCAACAATCTGAAGCAGAACCACTAGATATGGAAAAACAGGAAAAAAACGATTCCTTCGCCTATGGACAAGATACTAACGATAAGGACACAGATGCAGAAAGAGCTAGTACTTCTTCCAGTGGACAATCCCCCAGTCCTGTCGTCCATCAACCCGATATCAGCCATACTCCTGTTGGTGTTCAGGATGCTTCTGTCAGTCCCGTTTCCTCCAGTCCCGACGTTACTGCTGTTGACGGTGATGCCGATCCCAGGAGTCCTCCCACAGAAGAACATCCCGTTGCCGGTTCCACTCAATCCCAAATTCCTACTGCTGAAAGCGTAGAACATGGTCATGGCCCCTCCGTACACGTTGACACCGAGTCTGGTGTTCGAACGGTCAAAACCGACAAGGATCAGAGTGCTCATTCCAAGGGAACAGAGAGTACCGAACAAAATAATGAGAACAAAGAGAATACTACCCCTAAGGATAGTGTTGATAAAGTAATAGAAGAAGTTAGTAATACACTACAGGATACACGTAACACAGGTAAGTTTGATCTGGGTGATGCTGTCGCCAATAGTAGGAAAGATGATCTCTCTACACCCAGTACACCTGAACCTAAACCTAATCCAAACCCAGATGCAGCAGTTTGCTCAGGAAGTTCCAGTGACATAAATCCCTATGGAGTTTGTTTACCAGGCATCACACATAGTGGGTGTACTGAATGGGGTAGTGAGTCCTCTAGCG